AGAGCGCCACAGCTCAGTGACATTTATCCGGTAGAATAAAAAAAGCATGTTGAGAGTGGGCCCCGGTGCGTGTGTGCTTGTTTCAATATAAGCAACACAAAGATCCTTAACAAACTGTTGAGGTATTCTTTGGGTCTTTCGGTAAAGACACGTAGATAGAGTTCAAAGAAAATAACATGCAATAAGTGTTGGTGAGGTAGTGTCTAACCAGGGCCGGTACATCAGCATTCAGTCCTTGTTGGACCAAATCTTCAATGATTGCAGTGGTGCCAGGCACAGGAACTTTGGCAAACAAAGAGACCACATCGAAACTAACGAGCAAATCACCTGGAGATAGTGAGATGTCCTTAATTAACGATACCAAGTGATTCATCTTCTTGGTTCTTTCGGTAAAGTCACGTAGAAGGGAAGTAATAAAATAATAAAAATAAAACAATAAAATAATTCTCACGACGTTTCGGCCACAACGCAAGCAGCCGTCCTCAGGTGAATACCAGGTCTGAGGTGGTCTTACCAGTGAATGGTTGTAAGGTCTCAGACAGAAATCGGGCCAGTTTGTCGGTGGGTGAGTCAATGGTGGAGACGATAGGACGAAAGGGTGTCCCTTCTTTATGGATTGTTGATAAGCCATACAATCTGGGTGGTCTGGCAGGAAAGGGTTTTAAGGAAAACCGCCTTTTCCTGATGACGAACGCTTGTGTTGCGATCGAAACGTCGTAGTTTATTTTCTTTGAACCTATCTACTTGACTTTACAATATGAATTCCTGCAGTCGCGAAAGCTTTAAGTCAAGACTGTTGAGGCATCGTGCTGCTAGCGAATGGCAACACCTATGAAGGCCGGCACGGCACACGGGGGTGGGTGGCCAGAACCACGCCCGGCCGCCTTTGTCTCCCCAGTGGCGATGTTTACACACCGCACCGGGCACTCATGTGAGTCAGCCGAGGGGAGGCCCAGTACCGGTTCAGATCATCGTCACTCGAGTTGATGGCCGTGAGCAGGAATCGAACTCGGGTCGCCAGGTTCGTAGCGCAGCGCGCTAACTGCTACACTACCGCTCCCCCCTACACCACCGCTCTCACACGCACACTGACACACAACCGCATTTGTATTCACGTTTGTCGATTCGATTTTTATTCAATCACGTTTTAAGTGGGCACTGCAGGTGTTCGCACACAAGGGTGCGTCGGTTGCCGACAAAACAGAATGTGTTTTTTGGCTTCGCGGCAAGAGGAGACAACATTCGAAGGAATCGCGTGCATTTTGGTTCTCGTTACTTTTAAAACTCCGACTAACCAACAACAAAAATGTATCAACAGATTCCCGGCTGACGTCGACGGGGGTTCCGATTGGCGTGTTGTGGGGCCCGTGGTGATGGCGGCGTTAGTTCAATCCACTGCTGCTGCTACGTCGTCTGTGCTGCATACAGGTCAGAGGTCGCAAACGGGTTTTGATTCCGTACCCGTACCCGGCCGCACCAGGGTCGCAATTGGGTACCCGTACCCTATCCGATACCCGGCCGGGTATCGGGTAGGGTACGAGTACCCGATTGCGACCTCTGCGATGAAGCAATGTTGCAGGCGCGGGTGGGTTGATTCTAGGAACTTGAATTGTGAGAAGAGACAAGACATTGGGAAATGAGTGACAAACGGTGACTCACCAGTGACTCACGGCCTACCCGTACCCGTACCCGGCCGCACCAGGGTCGCAAACGGGTACCCGTACCCGGCCGTGTACGGGTAGCCGGGTATCGGGTAGGGTACGGTTATCGGGTACCCGATTGCGAACTCTGATACAGGTTTCCCTCCCTCTCACTCGACACAGTAGTAGACGCGGTAGTAGACGCGGTAGTAGATGTGTTCTCAACAACAAAAACCAAGAGGGAGTCACGGACCGCAACGCCACTCAACCCCAATGCACCGCACGAGGAGGCAGCTAGCTGTGTAGCAGCCGAGTAGCACGTACAGCACGAACACCGTACACACAATGCTGTATCGCTGTGGGTGTACTTCTCGGCTCATGTCTCTGTATGTATCTCAGTGTGAGACACAGTACACAGTACGTACACACACACACAGTACACACACGTTGTCCCACGTCCGACCGCAGAGCCGCATGTGGAGTGAATTCAAATCGCATAGTAGAGCGAATTTTGGGTTCCAGATTTTGAGGTTTTTACACCGCAAGTCTGCAATGCCTTCAGCCAACACACAAATGAGCTCCCCCCCCCATACACACTGACCAGGAGTGGTGAAGTATTGTCGAACAATCCCGACGGGAAGGCCATCGATCATCTCGGCGGTGGATTTGTACTCCGCGCGTGAAACAGCAGAAATACACACACATTGCTTTCGCGAGCCATATTATCTATAAGTTTTTTTTTTCGGATAGAGCACATAAATGTGTCGTTAAACCTGCCACCACCCGTCACGTAAACAGAACGTGGCCAATTCGTTACGAGTACAGCACCACCGGTTGTGTTGGAGAGTAAATCCACAACATTTACAACCTCAGTACGACGTTTCGCCAATTATGGATGAAGCTGGTTGTAATTACTGGTGAAACGCCGTACTCAGATTGAAAATATTGTGGATTCGCTCTCCAACACAACCGGTTAGTGCTGTACTCGTAACGAATTGGCCACGTTCTGTTCACGTGACAAACCTTACTAATTGGCCGTGGCGGGTTTAACGACACACATTTCTATTTACGTGATCTAACCCCAAAAAAAACACAACAACCTGCGTTATGGACCACATTGCTCTATGGCGGGGCATCTCTCAACGCTATTGCCGAACGACTGACGCGAGCGCCGTGCGTTTCTTTCGTCGCAGCCCCAGACGCACGCGGTCAGCTCGGCAGACGACGATGTCACGGTCGGCAACTCGTCAAGGACGCGCTACCCCCACCCGCCCCCCGAAACACGGCCGGAGCGAATCTGCCGGACCACGTCGTGAGCCGAACGACGAAGCAACGTTGCAGCAACGTTGCAGCAACGACAGAAATAACAATAACGTCACGAGATCATTATTCTGTTGTTGTCGCCAGTATCAAAGTATGACAATGATAGGTTTTGACCCTTTCTGGCAATAAAACAGGAGTTGTGGTAAGATGTTCAAACACCAAGGGGATAGCTTTTTGCAAGTTCTGCATTAGCCACACACAGGACTTGTGATGAACATGCAAACACGCGGAGTTTGCATGGTTCATGCACTACTCTCTTCCTTACAAAAGGCATCAAATTTGCTGTTTGAACATCTTAACGCCTCCCGTTGAATTACCGGAAAGTGTAGAAACCTATTCTCAATTTTTGACGATGCCAACTTGCAACGCCACCGCCGCCGCGCGGCGTTCGCTTCTCGCTCTCGTAGAGACAAGAGAGAGATGACGACGACGTCGACTCGGAGAGGCGCGAGGAGGACGACGAGACGCCACAGGCGAGCCGGGGAGGCAGTCAGAAGGTGCCAGCGATTGCCCCAAGCTCTGCGGTCCTCTACGTACAAAGGTGTTACTGGCCAACTGTTTGTACTTGCGGCAGTAAACCGGAGCGCTCGGGAGAAAACCCACGCGGGCGAGGGGGAAACACTCGATCCCATGCAGTCGGAACAGGTGGGAGAGGCCACATTTCTGCAATTATCTCCTGGCGAGCCAGGGGTGCACACACCGGCTCCTCCGTGACAGCTACGGGAACGGAGTGCGGTGATCCACCACCAACGTCGTTCCTGGGATGCACCAACATCCGTCAAATGGGTGAACGAAAATAATATATATCTTAAACATGGGTTCGCTAAAAACTGCTTCAAGTCACCAACGTTTTTTTTTCTACATACCAAGACGAACTTTTGGGGATTTAAAATGAAGGGGGAAAAAACCACGCAACTCTACGCACGAATACGTGGCAATGTGATTTTATATTCCTGGGGCGTGCACTTAAAACAGGTTAGACCTCATGCCGACCGCAACGCTGTCGCATTTTTTTCGTTTGTTTATTGTCACAAACGATGGGTGGGGGATAGACATTTATAAAAACGCACGCCCCAAAAGGGGAAAAAAGACGCATTTGAGGATTCACTCGGTAATTGCTCGATCGGACATACGCTGTACAAAAAAAGGCATTTGTGATCATTGATACCTACGTGAAGATGAGCCTCGCGATGTCATTTTCATTATTTTTTTTCTTTCGGAAACCCGGTGCTTGTATTTTATTACTTAGATGGGAATGTGTTTTTTGTTTATCAAAGGTTGTTCTTCATCATGTGCTTGTGATTTCAGTGGTTTGTTTAAAAGAGTCACTCGCAAACAACAACAACAAACCATTCGGACAAGTGCAGACACGAAATCCAGCCGAGCACTTTTCTCCCAAGCCCTCCCTTAAGAACGATGAATTCTCAAGCGGCTGCCTCGGACGATTCCAAATTCATCCCAAACCAAAGCGAATTTCTCCCATCGGCACCGGCGGCAGTGTGAGCACGTCCCCCACGCCAGCTTTGTCTTCCCGACGCGATTGAAACGCGTGGATCCAGATAGTTATTCCATCGGGAGACGTATAAGTGTAATTGTCAAGTAAAATAAAAACGTGCTCGCGATCAGACTTCGCAGGAGAACGTAACGACGAGCCTCGTGACGATTACCCGATGCCAGCCGAGATGGTCTCGCGGCGCGACCATCGGTAGCTGTCTGCGCGCGCGTGTGTTGACGTTGAACTTCTTTCGCACCGTACGTAGCCAACCGTGCTAATCGGGGAAAACCAAACAAAACCATTTCACACACCCGCGCGTCCCCCCCCCCTCCCCAAAAAATAAATAACTTTACATCCTTCACCTCTATTACACTGGTGGCAACGTTCACCGCCAGTAAACAAGATACAAGATCCCCGGCAGACCTCCCCCCCCCTGCCCCCCGCCGGCCATCCCCAACGCTTCAGCATCGATATCATCCAGCGGTAAAAATTCAACTCGGCTTCGTCATCACGTAAGCAACGGGGACTCCCCCCCCCCCATCCCCACCCATTCCGCCGGTACAATCGAGGGTCAAAGGAGAGGGCTTCCATATAAACGAAGACATTATCCCTGCACTTTAACTCAACTCCACGCGCGCGCCCGGCAAGCAACTCTTCTTGCAGCTTCATTATTTTCGAAGGCGTAAACCTCCCGGCGGCGTTCGTGAGAACGACCCGCGGACCCGCTGCGGACAGTGCGCGTCGGGTAAAAAGTGCGAGCCCCGTTACAAACTAAAAAAAAAAAATGGTCGTAGAAGCCTTTCTCAAGGGGGGTCCCGCGCCTTGAAAAAAAAAATGGGGGCCTTCCGAGCAAGCGCGGGCGCCGCTAATCGGGACGCAACGCGGAAGCGATTCAAAGGAACCCAGGTTCACCTTTGAACGGCGCGATTGTAACAGAACCCGACAAACGCCACGCGGGAACACGTCCCCCCCCCCAACTTCGCGATTCCACTCGTCCATACCGTCACAATTCCACTCTCGTCCACGCCAACACGCGAGTTGGGACAACGCATCCGCGCGCACCGTTCCATCCACGCCCAATGAAGAATCACTTTGCTTTCACACGTTGCCATAAACGCTCGGCAGGGGCAACGTTTCGAGGAACGCCCGCGGCCAACGTAACATCCACTTGAGAGGTGCAGAGGGATCGCTGGAGCCCAGCGAGACACCGACCTCTTGCACGCGAGCGATCGGCCGACGCGTGCAACGCGAGTCGACGCGACTCGAATCGTAGCATCGCAAGCGCACAAAATGAACGTCGGCACGCGACACTAAGTTCGTCGCCAGGCGCCGCTGTCAGAAACGTGAATGGCGAATCAAATATCGCGGCCTTCACACGTTTGTTCCTCCGCGTACAAAATAAAAAAATATATAGACAACCCATCAGCTGCACGGGCTACCTGGGAATGCACCGCATCGGCACAGAATTGGTTCAACGTGAGTAAAACTTCTGAATCGGTTTAGACATTTGGTGTCTCGTCAGGGGTCAGGCTTACTTTGAACCAATGCTCGTGAACTGCCAGATGGGTTCAATGTCTATTCATCCAGAGCCATACAAATCATTTTATTCACACACACACACACACCAATGCATTGCACACATGCACATTAGTACATACACACACACACATTACCACATACACACACACATTACTACATACACACACACTACTACATCCACACACATTACTACATACACACACACTACTTCATACACACACACATTACTACATACAGACACACATTACTACATACACACACACACATTACTACATACACACACACACTACTAAATACACACACACTACTACATTCACACACACACACACTACTTCATACACACACACATTACTACACACACACACTACTTCATACACACACACATTACTACGTACACACACACTACTACACACACACTACTACATACACACACACACTACTACACACACACACATTACTACACACACACACACTACTACATACACACACACATTACTACACACACACACATTACTACACACACATTACTACACACACACACATTACTACACACACACACACACACTACTACACACACACACACACATTACTACAACAACAACCGCCATTCGCCACTAAGTGGCGGTGACGTCACCACGATGCTTGTGCCAGGCCAAGTGCACCTTGAGGCCACGTGAAGTGTCGAAAGCCCGCTGGCATTACTACACACACATTACTACACACACACACATTACTACGTACACACACACTACTACACACACACACTACTTCATACACACACACACTACTTCATACACACACATTACTACATCCACACACATTACTACATCCACACACACTACTTAATACACACACACACATTACTACATTCACACACACATACATTACTACATCCACACATACATTACTATATACACACACATTACTACATCCACATACATTACTACATACACACATACCATACTACATACACACATACCACACTACACACACAAAAACAAAGATCCCCCCTACAGCTTTAACAGACTGTTGTGGCAATGATTGTAAGCGAGCACCTATGAAGGCCAGCAAAGCACACAAGGGGGTGGATGGTCAGCACCACGCCCTACCACCTTTATCTCCCCGGTGACGATGTTTACACACCGCACCAGGGACTCATTTGAGGCCGAGTTCACCTAGGGGAGGCCCTGGACCGGTTCAGATCATCTTCACTGGTGTTAGTCGTGAGCGGGAATCAAACTCGGCTTCTCTGCCGGGTTCGTAAGGCAACGGAGCTATTTTGCCCCCCCGTTTACGCCCAAACATTAAAAAGAATTCACCTGCCATTACTGCGTTTAAAATCTTCCGATAAGCGAGCGTTTTAGTTAACGTTGCCAACGTGTGGCTCATTAAGTCGTCACCTTCAGCCAAACGTTTCGACCCACGGCCGAACCGATGTGGAGCCGTGCCTTCGCGTGAGCGCGGGGGCAACGGTAGCAAAGAGGTCATCATCTGAACCCCCTCGGCCTGTCCTGGGTCTCTCCCGTGGTCAAGCCAGCCTCTAAACCTGCCACCAACGCAGCCAGTGGACATCAGTAGCGGGGAGACAAAGGCAGGCGAGGCACGGCAGTGACCGCACCTGCCCCGCTCGTGCGCCATGCGCCAGCCGTAATGGGTGCCCCCTCTGTGGGCTATGAGGAGGAGGTCACGTTCCTCTGTAGTCTACAAGGTCAAGCGGGGGGGGGAGAATCTGTGTCGTGTGAACCTCCGCTCCCTTAATGACAAAACACGAGCGGGGCAGTGTCAACGTCATCGCGCTCCGCTTCCGATGCCGTCCCGCGTTCGCGGCGCAAACAACGCAACATCGTCGGGACGGATGTCCTATTGTAAAAGCAGCTATCGCGATCACCTGACACAGGACAACGAGGGGCCTACGAGGCTGCGGGCCTGACGGGATGAACGGACGGATGAGGTCGGATTCTCATGCCCTCTCGTGCTCTCGCTCAACCCCTCCGTCACTCTGCCACGACGTTTCACGTACTTGTCACCCTGCATCTGTCACGCGCTCTCGCGTTATACGCCCGGCTCTTGCACTTCCCCTCCCTCTCTCTCAATCTCCCGCGCCCACCTCTTATAACCTTTCCTCTGCCAAACCCCCTTCCCATCGCTGCCCTCCCACTCTTGCCGTTGCCCCTCGCTCGGCCCGTCAACACACTCTCTCTCTCTCGCTGTCTCGCACGCTCGCACTCCCGTCAGCCCAATCAATGTTCCACTCGCTCAGAAAATTGCTCTCTCGCTTGGTAAGACTCCTCGCTCTACGTCCCCCACCACCTCTCGCCGCCGCTAACCACTTTGCTCATCCCTTGAGAGGGGCCCACTTGAGGCACGACGAGTCGATGGCCTTGTCGTTCGCCGGCTTGCGGGCCTCCTTGTCGAGCCAGTCGTCGATGATGTCCTAGCCGCGCGCGTGAGAGAGAAACGTCAAACACGTTAGGAAAATCTGCGACGCACATCCAATCGTCTCATTAAACCCTTTCCCGTTCCGATGACGTACGTGTATGGAACCGTGAAAAAACTAAAATAACTTTATCGGTACCGAGGCTCCCACAAGGCCATGGCGGGAGGGAGGGCGTGTGGCACAGTTTTGCGCCAGCTATAGTAAAGCAAGGTGGTGTCGCTCCGGTTCTCTGCGGTAACGTCTTTAAAAACGACGCTACGCCTCTCTCAATAAAATTAACGCTGAACCGTTCACGCGTTCCGAGATTCATCGGTGAACGGGACACCCACCCTGCGACTTGCAGACATCTCGGAATGGGAAAGGGTTATAATAGTTTGCATATTTCACACGTAAATTGGATCAAAATGTAGCTGCACCAAAGTGTTTGGAACCACCGAGTTTCCTGTCTTGTCAATGTAACTTTACCAATTGCAATTGTTTTTTTCCATTTGTAATTGTGGACCGCTTTAGATGTTGCCTGCCGGCCGAGTCGCCCCCCGTTGAAAAAGCACAATGGGCTTTACTCCATGTCCCGGGGGGGGGGGGGAGGGGGGGGACCACGTGGATGGTCCATATACCATGGGGGGGACCATGGGGATGGTGTCCATGTCTCATGGGGGGGACCAAGGGGGCGGTCCATGTACCACGGAGGCAACCACAAGGACAGTCCATGTACAACGGGGGGGGGGCCACGTGGACAGAGACAGGGACGGTGCGCCATTCATTTCCGGAGTTATTATTTTATGAACTAAACCTAAACAATTTATATTTTACCAGGCATGGCCCACTGAGCCATACAGCTCTTTTTCAGGAGCGACCTGGCCACAAATGAGAGCTCAACAAAGTGGCTTATCACGTGGAAATGTATCGCAGCCAATTACTCTAAACGCGTGTTTCTAAACGTGGAGGGAAAAAACGGAGAAATATCCAAGCGAACACAGGGAGAACGGGAAAACTCCAAATATACAGCAGGCGTCAGGGTCCGTATCAAACCCACGACCTACTGCATACCAGGCGAGGGAGTCAACATCTCCTAGCCACCGTGGCGCATCGGGACGATGGGCAACGCGTCCGCAAACGTGACGGCCCAAAGCTCTCAACTGCGAGTGGAGGTCAGCTGTTCATCGTCAGCTAAGGGTCACCTCGTTGCCACTCGCGTCAAGGAGGGGGTGGGGCTTATCTCACATCAACAGCGGATGTCACGAGGCTAGACTTGATCCCTGCCAGAGGAACATGGAATTTCAGGCGCACTTCACTTTCACAGCGCGGGTAAAAGCCACCGAGGGCCAAGGCTCGTTGTGTCTCGCCAGCCGAGCCGGCTGAGCACACACCAGAGGTCGCAAACGGGTTGTGATTCCTTACCCGTACCCGGCCGCACCAGGGTCGCAAATGGGTACCCGTACCCAGGCGGGTACGGGTACCCGTTCCCTACCCGTACCCTACCCGAAATGAGTGACAAATGGCTACTCACCAGTGACTCACGGCCTACCCGTACCCATACCCGGCCGTACCAGGGTCGCGTACGGGTAGCCGGGTATCGGGTAAGGTACGGGTATCGGGTACCCGGTTGCGACCTCTGGCACACACACAACAACTCGCAGAGGTCAAAAGGTTAACAGTGAATCCCCAAGAGAGGGGCGCGTCAAGAACGCTGCGCTATTCACAGCGGCCCTTTTCTTCATCGCCGGCACATTAGTCACGAGAACTTGTTCTGCCGAGATTTTTTCCCCCGTTTGTAATTACGTGGGTAATTTACCCAAACACCAATTTAGGAGCAGAAAAGGGCTGGTTCTGGCCAGACGCGGGGTCCAGTTTTAATTACTCCAGAAAGCCACTTAAGCTCACTGTCGCATTTCATTAGTGCGGCTGTAAAAACATCGTCACGTTGTCCCCCTCCCCCAGAATGTTCTGCCCACCGTTTAGTTTGACTCGTCTTTGACCGCCTTCGCAGCGCTGGTACGTCCGCGGTCAAAGACGTCAGTCCATACCGTGTCAACACACACGGTTTAACCCCGTATGCTTGTACAGGGCAAATTGAGTGTTCAGCAGAGGTCGCAAACGGGTTTTGATTCCTTACCCGTACCCGGCCGCACCAGGGTCGCAAATGGGTACCCGTACCCGGCCGGGTACCCGTACCCGGCCGGGTACGGATAGCCGTTCCCTACCCGTACCCTACCCGAAATGAGTAACAAACGGTGACTCACCAGTGACTCACGGCCTACCCGTACCCGTACCCGGCCGCACCAGGGTCACAAACGGGTACCCGTACCTGGCCGGGTACAGGTAGCCGGGTATCGGGTAGGGTACGGGTATCGGGTACCCGGTTGCGACCTCTGGTGTTCAGGTCCATACGGCGTACAGCTGTTTCAATGCGGGCAAACAATGTTTTCGTCTATTTGTTTGCGGTGGGATGAACGATGAGATTTATAAGGACACGGGGTGACCAATAAGGTATGAAATTGTCTGTAATAAGGTAGGGACTGATAAGCGGTTGACAGCTATGAAATTAGCATGGATTTGGTGGCAATCCCACGTTCTTATGGCAGGTATGTCAATCTATGGGGGGTTATTATTTATTACCATACTTCACCACGCTGATTTAAAAGGATTTTTTAAGAGGTGGAGTGGGGGGGAAGGCAGAAACGGTGCGGATTTTACTCAACGCTGACGTTAGCCGTGGCCGGCAATCGAACATGGACAGCCGGGTTCATAGGGCAGTGCGCTAACCACTATAACTAAACGCTCCACCCCAGGCCAGCCTTCATAGGCCTTAAAATGGGCTCACTAACAGCACCGGCCCCTACTCCCACCACTACTACTGTGTATCAGGATGTGTAAGGATGGGTGCCGTAGAGCAGGCAAGATGGTAACTCCCTCGCCTGGTATACAAGGAGGTCGTGGGTACGATTCGGCCCCTGATGCTTGTTGTATATTTGGAGTTTGCTTGTCTCTCTCTCTGATCATCATCATCACGGTGGCTAGGAGATGTTAACTACCTCGCCTGGTGTACAGAAGGTCGTGGGTTCGATCCAGACCCTGATGCCTGCTGTATATTTAGAAGTTGCACGTTCTCCCCATGGTCGAGTGGATATTTCTCCGGGTCCTCCAGTTTTTCCCTCCACATTTAGAATTAACGTATTCGGCTGCTATGAATTTCCACGTGATGATAAGCCACTTTGTTGAGTTATTATTTGTAATAACCAGGTCTCTTCAGAAAAAAAGATCTCTATAGCTCAGAGGCCCTTGCCTGATCAAATAAAAATAGTTACGTATATACGTTGAACTTCTTTCGCACCGCACGTAGCGAACCGGTGACACTGAGTGATAGAGAAGCGAGGTCTCCGTTCGTCTCCCCCCCCACCCGCCTTCACCTGCCGCTTGAGTACCAGGTGCTTGCCCTTCCAGTACTTGAGCATCTGCAGGTACTGCAGCGTGCTGACGATGTCTGCGGGGTTGATGGCCGTCTCCTGGCTGATCTCTGTGCGCAGCGAGAGAGCGAGCCGCAGCGGGTCACGAGTTTGACGGCGCAGGTAACAAACCCAGGGATGGCTTTCAAACGTTTCAGATTTTTGTAGGAGCAATTCAGATTTTCCAAAAATACAAATTGAGATTGATGCAGAATAATTCAACGTGTCTTCACTCCTCACAGAAGGTGAAGTCACTTCAGGAATTGCTGTAATAGAAGCGGTGTCATATCCGTGAGCTCATACTTTCACGTCAATTGAAAATGGACACGCATTCCGTCACCGCGCGCGCGCTTCACGTGAAATGCCACCAAACGCAGCCCGTAAAATGTCCACGCGCAAACGACAAACACGACTCTAGATTTGAAGCTTTCGTGACTGCAAGGATTCAGGTAAAAAAAAAATGAAAGAAAAATTAATAAAAAAATATTTTAATTTCATTTTTTTACTTACGTAACTTTACCGGAAAAACTAAGAATATGACAAACACGACGACCGGAGGCACACAAGCTCCTGGCTCCCTCCGACAAAACGACCGCGGCGTTTCCAATCCCTCCCTCGGCAGGCACGGGGGGGGGGGGGGGGGGGGGGGCAGCCTGCGGCACGATCGTCCGAGGAAAGCTGCCCCGGGGGGCGGTTATTACCGCCGGTAACAAGCGCACGGTGTGGGGCGACGCGGTGCGGCGGGCAGGGCGGAGCGACCTACGACCTTTGATGGAGATCTCCTTGCCGTGGAAGCCGTGCAGGTAGCGCAGCACCACGCCCTTCCAGTAGCTGCGGTAGCTGATGAGGCCCAGGTCGGAGAGCGGTCGCTCGGGTGACCCGATCTTGTCCTCCATCTTCGACAGCAGGTAGCCTTTGGGAAGGAAGCGCAGCAAAAGGGGTCGTGGCGGTGAGTTGGATTGGGAGCGGAGGAGGAGGGCGATGGGGTTCGTTAATCGGTCGGGAAGGCGAGCGCTGGACGACGCGCTGACCCATTAGGTCGCAAGGAACCTCGTTTGCAAAGCAGTGCCCGAGGGAAAGGCAATGGCGTGCGCGGAAAGAGCTATCCGTTCACGGATAGCGAAACGAGACGTTGCGACGTGCAACGAGACGCCGTTAGGCGAACAACTCCCAACGTAACGATCCCGAAGCAATCGGGACGCCGGCTGGCGGCTTTGATGTGCAGGGCTGGAAGCAAACGCTCGCACGCCGAGACGCCGCGGCGACGGCTGCGAGACGCGCAGCGCAAGACAAGCGCAAGAACCTCCGGCAGGCCGAGCGGAGGATGGGCTCTCACAAGGACGGCTCGTCCCGGACGCTGTGAGGGCAGCGCAGCAGTCTCCCCATGCTGCCCCCCCCCACAGTGTGCATCTCCCCCAGTGTGCATCTCCCCCAGTGTGGATCTCCCCCAGTGTGGATCTCCCTTCCCCCAGACGTCTGTGCTGTCAATCCCCTGCCACTGTTCAAGGTTCAAGTGCATGGTCAAGACCCTCCAGTACACTATTTTTATTAATTTTATTTTCAGAATCAGAATCATTATTTATACTGTAGGAGAAATCCGATGAGCTATTTTTCACAGATGTACAGTCAGGGCGAAGGGGAAAGAAAATCCACGCGACCATTAGGGGAACTAGATAAACTCCCAAATCTACAGGGGTCAGGGTTGGGACCAAACCCACGACCACATGCATACCAGGCAAGGAAGATAACGTCTTGCCACCGCAGCTCTTCAACACTTCCCAACACTGCTGACCGGTAAATAAATATGCCTGCCATTCCTGCACGACGCCGTGTGATGCGTTCACATCTAGACGCTGTGAAACTCCACGTTGTACCCTGCTGCAAATCAACTTCGGCTCATCTTCACATCCCCCTGTTTGTATCCACACACGCAAAGACAAAGATCCCCCATGTAGCCTTTAACAGACTGCAGAGGCAAGTGCTGTTAGCGAGCACCTATGAAGGCCGCAACGGTACACGAGGGAGTGGGTGGCCAGCACCACGCCCGACCGCCTTTGTCTCCCCAGTGGTGATGTTTTTAAACACCGCACCAGGTACTCATTTGAGGCCGAGTCGACCTAGGGGAGGCCCAGGACCGGTTCAGATAATCGTCACTGATTTTGGCCTTGAGCAGGAATCGAACTCGGGTCCCCTGGTTTGTAGTGCAGTGCGCTAACCGCTACACTACCGCTCCCCACTCCATGGTGAACAATAAAAAGACAAAGAACCCCCGTATAGCAGACTGTAGGGGCAAGTGCTGTTAGCGAGCACCTATGAAGGCCGGCACAGCACACGACGAGGGGGTGGGTGGCCAGCACCACGCCCTGCCGCCTTTCTCTCCCCAGTGGCGATGTTTACACACCGCACCAGGTACTCATTTGAGGCCGAGTCGACCTAGGGGAGGCCCGGGACCGGTTCAAATAATCGTCACAAGTGTCGGCCATGAACGGGAATCGAACTCGGGCCGCCAGGTTTCGCAGGTCGCCAACGGCCGGAGTACTGCTCCCCACACGCACACATGCACACCCACGTGCAGCAACCACTGCAAGACACCTTTATAGATGCGCGTGACTCATCGCTCGAAGGTGGCGAAAATGCGTCGCAAATGGACGGTTCAAGAAGACGTTCGCGTCTCTCCCCGGGGCAAGTAGAGAGGCGGGGGTGGGGGGGGAGGGCTGAGCCCGTGAGATTCGGTGACACGGCCGGACGACGGAGGAGCGTCTTACCGCTGGCTCGTTGCAGAGGTCTGCGCTCCAAGCACCCCGGCCCGACCCGGTTAACAACGCGAGCGTATAAACCATAGAACTAAAATATGACGCGCCATCGGCTTCGCAGTGGCCGTCAAAAAAATCCTGCGACATTGTATGCATGTGTTTTGAACTTCTTTCATTATTAATGCATGTACGTCGAGGATTATTCGAGCAAAGAAAACGGAAGACATGTGCGTGCTGGCTCTCACGGTCCAAACTTGCACCTTACTGCCACGGAATAAGCGAGAGCAGCATCGCTGCCCTCATTCCGCACCGACGCCACACACTTGAAGGCCGGTGCTGTGAGATCAGCTTGTGCCGCACAGGGACAAGCTGCCCTTATATGGGGGGGGATCCCCATAGGCTGACAAGCTGCGTCCACGACACGTTTCATCACATTACGAACGCAAACATAAGTGCGAGTCGGATTTATAAAATTCTGGATTTTTTTTTGTTATTTCTCGCGCAGGGCTGAGATTAATACAAAAAAACCTTCCAACTTTGATTGCGGCAAAGGAAGGCGCGGGTTCCAAGCGATGTCCCGGGGGGAGCCCGTAGCGCGGCGTGGATTTGAGGGCCGCGAGTCCCCGTCTCACTTTCCCTCGGAGCTTTTTTAGGGGGATATCTTCGATGCCAAGAAGAAGCTCGTGAAAACCCTAAGGCCAGCTGCAGACTTCCCGGCTCACTGGGGTCACGTTGTGTGACCTGCCCTCCCTGCCCCCCCCCCCAAAACGCTCATCAGCCGAGGCCTCAATTTGTCAAAGAGTCTTTACGTCCACTCGACGGCCAAAATATCAAGGAAGAGAATCCGGCGAAAAGAAATTACCGCCATTGGAACTGCGCGCTACTGATTTCACCCAACGACGGAAGAGCAACACCAAAAATATGATCGCCACGTTTGTATTTCTCCATAATAAAGGTTTTTGGTTTAGATCGCATAAGTATAAATGTCAAATCGCCCGATGATGCTGGATGTAATTACCAACTCAGATTGTAAATGTTGTAGATTCACTCTTCAACACACCAGTGGGCTGAAGTAGTAACTATTTGGCGTTTACGTGACAAATCCCTTACTGATTGGCCATGTCGGGTGGTGGAGGGTTTCGACACATTCATACTTCGCGATCTAACCCAAAAAACCTTCATTATGAATAATACTGGTCGCAAAAGTCTACGTGTTTGTATTTTTATTAGCAATTTCTTCGGCCCAACAACTCAAGCCAAACGTACGGCCGACTCACACTGGGAACTGGTACCAGCAATGTCAAGATCGGCCTCTGTGGACGTGTCTTAGTGTGTCACGTGTGTGCGTTGTGCACGTCTGCGTGTATTTCTATGTCTGTGCGTGTTTGTGTACATGCCTTTGTGTGCATGGAGGAGGTTCGTGAAAGACGCAGTTGGAGGCAATCGCCCTCCAGCAACAACGAAGGGCAGAGGAGTGACGCTCACAAACAACGAGCGGAGTGCCGGGCGGCTAAAATGCAGTAAGTTGACGCAGTGGGGAGCGCAGTTGGTGCATCTGCCAGTCATCTCAGTCAGTCAATCCACGACACCTGGGTCTGTTCCGTGACCTCCTGCTGCCAGCGGGCCTTCGACACTTACACGTAGCCTCAAATTGTACCTAGCCTGGCACAACCACCGCGGTGACGTCACCGGCACTCCGTGGTGAACGGCGGTCATTGTTGTGGCAATTAGCTTAAAATCGTGTACGTTGCACGAAAAAGGGGTCCGTGGCCTTCGCGTTGATTCGCGACAAATTACGGCGAGACAATTAACAACGGTTCCGTGCTCACCCGGGAAAGCTTCAAGCCGAGCCTCAAGACTACGACGCTCGAGGGCGTCAGAGACGTCGTCCGAGACCAAACTCCGTCACCAGCAGGGATGACGGCCCGTGGTCGAGACGCAGAACAGAGCGGCGGGTCCAAAGCGGCAACACGCGGGAGCCGGACGGATCACGAGGGACGGCGGGGACGCCTCCGGGGAGGCCTTCATCCGACGGTGGATGGGTCGCGGCCGTCGATGACGATGGCGGGTGCGTGCGTGGGCGAGTTCGTGCGTAGGTGCGTACGTGCATGGGCGGGTACATGCGCAGGTGGGTTCGTGGGCGTGCGTGGACTCACTGAATTCGATGAGCATCTTGCCGTAGCCCTGCCTCATGAACTGCGGCATGGTTAGGATGCACGACACGTTGTAGTTGAGGAACGAGTTCTTCTCCTGCGAAGGGGAAAGAAATCGGGGGGGGGGGGGGGGGTAGGGTAGAAAGGCTGTAGCGTCGCAGGCGAAACGGAGCGGCGTCCTCAAGAAACAATGGGGGTGGCTGCGACGCCACGGGCCAATTACGAGCCCCGGCATCGTTCGATGACCACGGGACACAGCCACGGGAGGGCAAGGCGGCTGGCGCATCACCGTCACCACCATCACCGCCACAGAGGGAAGGCGATGAAACGTACGGTGGTCGCGCAACAACTGCGTCCATTAACCCTCATGCAGCAGCTCTTCGTTCGCTTTGTCGCGGCATCGATCGACGTGGATCGGTCATCCGCCGTTTCATTTCACGTGCGGCTATCGCCCAGGAACGTTCGAAGCGCCGTGCGTTTCAATTCGGCCGCAATCTATTCACTTCTGGATGAAAGCTGCCGCCGCAAGCCCTCACCAAGATAATTGTTTTTTTACCCTTTTATCTGGCAACAAAACTGACACCTATTTTTTACAAGGAGTCATTTTGCATTGACCACAATACCTGCGGTCGGAATGCAAACAAAAAATATAACTCTGATAATGTATGCACTGTCCTTGAAGTTGATTGGTCCACACCCGGGACAGCTTTTCTTAGAGCCGAGTCTTACATGATGTTGGACCAGATGACGCCAAAAGGCGCACAACTCAAAGACAATGCACCGTCAGAGTATGAGAGCTCGGGGTAAGCATTTACACCCGACCATGTGAGACTAGGCTCTAAGAAAAGGTGTCTCGGGTGTGGACCAATCAATTTCAAGGACAGTGCATACGTTATCAAAGTTGTGTTTCTTGTTTGCATTCCGACCGCAGGTATTGTGGTCTATGCAAACATGACTCCTTGTAAAAAAAGGTGTCAGTTTTGTTGCCAGATAAAAGGGTAAAAAAACAATTATCATATTTTGCTACTGGCAAAGGAGGTTCCAATGGAGCCCTCACCAATTCTCTCGTGGATACGCGATGCCGATCGCATCGCTACCATCGTCATCATCATCATCATCCTTCTGTGGTCGATAAACAAAAATATATAAAAGCCGTACCACTTTGTGAGAGAGCAAATAGCAGTTGTCCTATGAATAGAACGATTCATGCAATTGGAACGTGGAATTTACACCGCCCCGGGGTCGTGACATCCAACTGAAATGAGGCAATGAGCCGTGGCTGTTTGAGCAGGGAGACAATGAGCAGGGAGCGAGGTCAGCAGGGGCGGCTAATCCCACGGTGGTCGGAGACACACACGGAGAGTCAGCGACACCGAGATGCTGGATTCGAATCCGCGTTTCAGTCGCCCGCGCTGATGCCGGGGTTTTCGATTCGAATGGTCTTGGACCGGTCACCAATGACCACACGGCAAACAGCAACAAAGCAAAATAAAAAATTCTGAAAAATTCCAATGGGGTTTTCACTTTTGATTTGAAGCTTTTGTGACTGCAGGAATCCATACTCTTTGGTTCTTTCGGTAAAGTCACGTAGGCAGAAAATAAAATAAAAAACTTTTTTATAAAAAAAATTACAAATTTAAAACAATATTTTTTTTTATTATTTTAAATTCTTAACATTTTTTATAACAAAGTTTTTTCTTTTATTTTATACCTACGTGACTTTACCGAAAGAACCAAAGAGTATGGGGTTTTGCACTTTGTTCGGTTCGCTTCAGCTTCTGGGAATCAAAGTTTACAAAGTAATACTGGTAGGAACTCACTGGTTCCACCAGCCCACATGGGATTATTGTGTCCGTCCGTCCGTCGTGCAGGGAGGGGCTGGGTGGGGAGGGAAGGGCTGGGTCGGGAGGGGAGGGTGGTGAAGGTGGGGAGGGGAGAATGGTGAGGGTGGGGAGGGGCTGGGTGGGGAGGGGCTGGGTGAGGAGGGTGGGGCTGGGTGGGGGGTGGGAGGGGTGGGGCTGGTGGGGAGGGGCTGGTCACCCCGTGGTGCCCTTATAAAACTCAACGTTGAACCTACTCACGCCGGCTTGTGCCCGCCCTCACAGTCGGGCATATTTGCGGAATACACCACGCCGCCGTTGACCCTGCAGGCCATTGACCGAGCAAGCCAACGTTCCTACCAGCTCCCTCCTGCTGCTCCTGCCGATTATGATGCTGCTACTGCTCCACCTGATGCTGCTACTGCTGATGCTGCTGTTCCAGCTGATGATGATGCTGCTCCTACTGCTGCTCCTGCTGATGATGCTGCTGCTCCTGCCGCTGCTGAAGATGGTGCTGCGACAGATCCTGCTGATGCTGCTGCTGATGATGATGCTGCTCCTGCTGCTCCTGCTGATGATGCTGATGCTGCTGATGCTGCTCCTGCTGTTCCAGCTGATGATGATGCTGCTCCTGCCGATTATGATGCTGCTACTGCTCCACCTGATGCTGCTACTGCTGATGCTGCTGTTCCAGCTGATGATGATGCTGCTCCTACTGCTGCTCCTGATGATGCTGTTGCTGCTCCTGCTGCTACTGCTGATGCTGCTGTTCCAGCTGATGATGCTGCTCCTGCTGATGCTGCGACTGCCCCACCTGATGCTGCCGCTGCTGATGCTGCTGCTGATGTTGATGCTACCACTGCTGCAACTGATGATGATAATGAATATGAGCAGCACCTCGCGGGTGCGACACTGCACGGGAAGGTGAGGGGGGGTAACCTCACCTTGGAGAAGTAACCGACGAGGTGGCAGCCGGCATTGTCTCCCTCCGTCATGACGTAGAAGAGGAAGGGCTCCACGTCGTAATACAGCGTCTTGTGGTCCAGGAACAGCTTGGCCAGGAGGCACAGGTTCTGGCAGTACGTCTGCAGACAGACCGTGCGACGAATTTTAAACTCTTTAAACTGAACCATTTTACCAGGTAAGGCCCACGAAGGTTTACAGTAGAACCCTTCTGAACGACCACCCCTGTTAACGATTAATCGCTGAACGATGGGCCTCCATAGAGCCCAATGTGTAGTGTACACTAGTGTAGTGTATAGTGTAGTCTATAGTAGTGTAGTGCTTCCATAGACCCCAATGTGTAGTGTATAGTGTAGTGTATAGTGTAGTGTACACTAGTGTAGTGTATAGTGTAGTCTATAGTAGTGTAGTGCCTCCATAGACCCCAATGTGTTCGCTTATAGACCATTCCCCTGTTAACGATGGGCTGATGTAGATACAGTAAATATTACTTACTGCATTGAGTAACCACGTTTCTTTAACATGATGTGTTTATAATGTTGTTAGTATCTTGATGTATTAATATCCATTGTCTAAATATGTTTATCTTTCCATGCTATCGGAACGAATTAAGCCTTTAACGTGTATTTCCTTTACTCGCTTAACGGCCAAATCACTTAACGGCCGGTTTCGTGGAACCGATTACCGTCGTTAAGAGGGGTTCTACTGTTTCGCTCATTTTCAGAAGCGACCTGGCGATTGCAAATGACAGCTCAAGTGGCTGACCATCGTGTGGAAATTTATAAGCAGCCAAATACTCTCAGCGCGTGATATTGATTCTAAATGTGGAGGGGAAAACCGGAGGGCCCGGAGAAAAATCCACGCGACCACAGGGAGAGAGACACGCAAACTACAAATATACAGCAGCAGGCATCAGGATCGGGATCGAACCCACGACTGCCTGTATACTAGGCGAGGTAGTTAACATCTCCTAGCTACCGTGATGATGATGATGATGAGAGAGAGACACGCACACTCCAAATATACAGCAGCAGGCGTCAGGGTCAGGGTCAGGATCGAACCGACGACCACCTGCACACCAGGCGAGGTAGTTAACATCTCGCTCCTCCGACCAAACGTTTTCAAAGAGGTGGAAGCAACCAACACTTCACCTCACCACACGCGTCCTGCCTGTCAAACTGAGAACCGCCACCACAATTTACACTGCTCCGTGGACCGGAGGGCCAGAGGCATTGAATAAACTTGCCACACTCTACGTACGTTGAACTTCTTTCGCACCGTACATAGCCAACCGTGCTAATCGCAGGCGTAAACGCACCAGCGCATGCCATTCACCACGCAGCTTGTCACGTCTTTCGCTCGCACGCCGTCTCTCCAGAACTCACAAGTGGGGCAGATATATTTTGGAAAAATTGCGTTGTGAACGATGTGGAGGAGTCGTATCGATTCACTCTCTGTCGTCAGCAGGGGTAATATTGCTCTGGGGGGGGGTCACACAAAACAGACTGGTGGGGTCGTTCGACAAGAGACCAGTCTCTGATTGGGTCTCGGAGAAGATAAATAGACTCGATCCGATGGGACCCTTTAGACAATTATTCGGACCGATCTCTGACGGTGTTTTGATGAGGATGACGGAGCAGTTCCGATCAGGTTGGGGAAGGCGAAAGCTGGGAGTTCCAGCCCTTGAGGGTAGAAAGTGGAGAGGGCGGTGACCTTCCCCATCGAGTGGAGGGTTGACACGGTTGATTTAAGTTGTTGATTTTAGATTTTGCAATATTGGCAAGGGATTTTCCATTGCCTGCCTCTGTGAAATATATCCTAAATATCAGCCTGGTCGGACACTGACTTCTAAGGAGCAGATCCTGTTTGAGATTCCCAGCTTCAAGGTGCCTCTGGGGTGCCCAGCAGAGTGCAGAATCCATGCTGTGATGGAGCTGAAATCAATGAGAAACCCCGAGACATTTAAAGACTCTATTTAAAGCCCACTTACTCAGAGACGCTCCGATCCACTTCTCCAACAACATACGCGCAGAGTTAAGACTCGCGAATCTACGGCTATACCTCCTCCTAACGTGTGTACGTACGTGTTCAACTTATTTAGCGCCGTACGTAGCCAACTGTGCTGAATCGGAGGTGCGGTGTATGTACGTGTGCTGAACTTCTTTCGCACCGTACGCTTATTTGGCGACACTAAATTTCCACACGATGAGCCACTTCGTTGGGATGTCACTTGTGAGAGCCAGGTCGCTTCTGAAAAAGAGCAAAGTGGCTCGGTAGGGCCTAACCTGGTAAAATAAAAAAAGTTTCAACAGTTTCAATCCGTCGCCTGGGGGGATCAGGCGAGTTCGGGGTAATGTGGGCACGTAAGGCAATTCGCTTAATGGCACCATCGCCACGGTGACCCCCAGCAACCTCCATGGGTGTTGGCCGAGATATCAAACGAAGCACCGCTGCACTCTTACCTATTCGTCGCAAACAGCCCATCCATTCACGTGGGGGGGGGTCGCTTTGAAGCTCTTGATGGCTGAGCAGTCACTAAGTGACCTAAATGCTGTTCAAGACTTGTGCCGCTGTGAGTCATCGTCGCCCATGGGCGGCTGCGGTAGAAGCCGCGGGGGGCTCCTCAAATCGTACCCACGACACGGGCATCGATTAGCACGGTTGGCTACGTACGGTGCAAAAGAAGTATAACGCATGTAGAGTGTGGCAAGTTTATTCAATGCCTCTGGCCCTCCGGTCCACCGAGCAGTGTAGATTGGTGGCGGCGGTTCTCAGTTTGACAGGCAGGACGCCATATGACCATACTTCACCACGCTGGTCAATGCGGGCTGGTGAAGGCAAGGGGCATATACGTGGGAGCACAGAATTTCATTGCAAATGAATGGATTTCGCTGGACTGCCCTCTGCTGCCCACAACAAAGGTCAACCCCCGATGCCGCCTCTGGCAACCTGGCACGCGGCATGGTGGCGGTGGTGGCCGCCCATCCAAGCACTATCCAGACATTCAGACGCTGTCTTTCCGACAGACCTGTTCTTCACCTGAGGACGGCTGCTTGCGTTGTGGCCGAAACGTCGTGAGAATTGTATTTTATTATGTTTATTTTTATTATTTTATTATTTCCCTTCTACGTGACTTTACCGAAAGAACCAAGAAGATGAATCCCTGCAGTCACGAAAGCTTTAAATCGAAATTTTTGTGTTTAGTTTGCTGTCCTTCCCCCACACCTCTGATTAGCACGATTGGCTACGTACGGTGCGAAAGAAGTTCAACATGCATTTGGTTATAGTTGTAGAGCTTACACTAAAATCGCTGAGGAGCTGAGAATAAACAGGCTGATAAACTCCATCTGACACGGGCGGTGCGACAGGGGAGAAACACCGAGAGATCCGTGCGTGAGCTTTTGAAAATGCTGCTGACGTTGGACCGATCCTCCAGGATTCTGACAAAAAAGAAGCGACACTCCGGGGACATGTTCTAATTTAGAAAAAACACAGATGGGCATTAAAAATTAAAGCAGCTCACGGAGTGGCCGAGTGACTCAGAGGTCAGAGCACTCATGGCCACCGTTGAGACCGTGGGTTGGAATCCTGACAGCAGCCAGTGATGACACTGGGACGAGAGCACGGGCCGCGGGTGGATGGTCTCAGCCCGGACACCGCGGACTGCACAAAGAACTCCCCGCCACCCCCCCGCCCATCAAGTTTGATTCCGCACTGGATGTGACCGTCCAACAGCAGTTCAGAATTACATCTTTAGAATCATAAAGGAGAGAAAAGGCCACCTGAAAATAGTTTTTTTCCAGAAGTTTCTTAAAATATTTGCATACACGTACATTGAACTTCGTTCGCACACCTTTGGCCCGTACCATCAGCCCCTGCCCCGGTGGCATCGGTATTTGCACGCCGTGTCTTCCGTGAGAGACCGGACCTATCCCCAATGGGCTCTGTACGTCTGCGAATGTATGTTGTGTATGTCGACGAGGTATTCACCAAAGGTACGTACATTGAACTTCTTTCGCACCGTACGTAGCCAACCGTGCTAATCGGAGGTGCGGGTGAAGGATCATTCAGGTCCACTCCCCGACAAACGCACAAACGCACAGCGCAACGCTCTACAGGAACGCTGAATGGAATCTTCGTCACGGGCCACGACGCCAAAGAAGAGCACAACCGGAATAGATTGGGGGAAGTAAATTAAAAAAACAATTAAGATAAACGTTCTAGATTTGAAGCTTTCGTGACTGCAAGGATTCATATTCTTAGGTTATTTCGGTAATAAAATAAAAATCACGACGTTTCGGAGGCAACAACGGAAGTTTGTGTTGCCTCCGAAACGTCGTGATTTTTATTTTATTTTTATTTCACTTTTATTAATTTTAATTTTTTACCTATGTTACTTTACCGAAAAAACCTAAGAATATGATAATCGTTAACCACGCTTAACCTGCACCTCCGATTAGCACGGTTGGCTACGTATAGTCCGAAGGAAATTCAACACACGTACAACCCGCCCGCACCAGCTACACGCTTGATAGAAGGGGGAGGAGAGCCCAGTGCACGTGTTCAACCCTTTTAGTCACTCCACTGCTGGATGAGGCCCATGGAGGGGGGGGTGGTCCTGGGGGGTTATTTGACCGTACTGAGAGCCTTGAGACTCCGTTACGCTTTGCTGGGTAAACGAGCGTAGCACAGCGGTAGTGATAATGTATAAATAATCCACCACCTCCCCCGGGCGGTGGTGTTGTGTGCCACCGACATCTGGGTGGTTGGTTTTCGAGCTGTTCCCCGTACGCGGGTGTTTGTTTCGTGCGTAAACAATTTAGCGGGTGAAGAACAGCCAAGTGGGAAATGGCCCTAACTCAGTGTTCTTTATTGCAAACCCCGCACGCCACTGGCAGCACCTGGTGCCTTTTAGTGCAGCCCCTGACGTGCGGCCCCCGACAATACATAAATGTGAAAACGCCCCCCATCATCATCATCATTGTCGTGCTGCTGTCGAACCGCTAATGGTTTCAAATGGTGTGACGGCCTTCACGCTGACGATGTCTTATCGGCGAAAGTGGCCAGCCCCTCTGAAAATGAGTGAAGCACATTTCTGTAACGGCTACGAAATCTCTGCACGCGCGCGCCCACGCCACCTTGTTCTTTTTGCCGTCCACTTCGAAGACGGACACGCTGCCGTTCCGGTAGATCTCATCCCCCGGCGGGTGCTTCCAAACGCACTTGGCCTGGCCAGAGACAAAGCGGAGAAAGAACATGATATTTTACATTTAGAATGATAAACAGACAGATGCGCAAATGGGAAAATTAAAGACACAAGCCAAGGTGGTGCGATAGAGGGCCATGCAAACCAAACTGTGGACCAAAGAGTAAACCCAGAGACCCATAGAGATTCATAGAAACCCATATAGTTACATTTTATACAATCAACAGTCGCACAACCAACACTTTGTACCATAGAGTAAACAACAGTAGTTTGTGCACAAATGTTAAAATTGGTCAAGTAATTAAAGATATTAAATTACCGTACATTGCGGGAAACCTAATAAACTGCCCAGATTTTTTTGAAAAAAAAAAGCATCCGAGTGAGATATGGCACGGCACATAAAATACAAAAACTAATATCTGATACTAAGGATGAATTACCTAAGCGAACAAACAGGTGTGTACCGGATAAATTGCTCCTGTGGCAAATGCTGTTGGTCAGAGGGGCCGAATGATCATCATGAGACTAAAAGAACACCAAACACAACTTTCGGCAGTTGCAGAACGCGCGTGCCAACAAGGACATTACATTTATTTTGATAATGTTGAAGTTTCGTGTAAAACTAGTTACTACTGGCTAAGACTAATTAGATAATCTATTGTAATTGAGAGAAATAAAAAAAATACTTCGAACCTTTCTGATATCCACAGGCCGAGTGCTGCTTGGAAGCATATTATCAAGTAATAGACTATATTCTTGGTTCTTTCGGTAAAGTAACGTAGAAGGGAAATAATAAAATAAAATAAATTCTTTCTAAAAGAAAAAGGATTTCTTTTATTTTATTATTTCCCTTCTACGTGACTTTACCGAAAGAACCAAGAATATTAATCCCTGCAGTCACGAAAGCTTGTTTAATTGCATGCCTATACAGGTCACTATACGTCGATTAACTACGACTTAATGTGTACATAGCTGCTGCCAAACTAAAAAAATAAGCATTCCATTATATGTTGACTAGCTTTACTAGCCGGTTTCGCCCGGGACTTGGATTCTTGTCTTGGATTAACACACGGCCTACGCGGAGGGTGGGGGGATGTGTGACGTCAGCAGGCACACTGCGTGACAAGCTAAGTAACTGAAAGCGAATAAAAGCATTTCAACGGACACTCTGCATGCACGACGTAAATTGCTCGCGCTTGTCGGTTACCCTCAGCGAGTTCAGAAAGGCCTCTTATATCGTTCTAGCTTACCACGTGGATTTACATTTAACCGTAGCCATTTCACATTGACAGATTCACACAGTAGGTGATTATTCACCAATGACTCTCACGCCCGATATAATTTCACGCGTATAAATAAACTCGCGTAACCCCCCCTGGGACATTTCCACGGAACACCCCCCCCTCTCTCCCAGGGGCCCCCCCTGTTGAGCACCACAGCTGGGACTGGCAACGCCAACGCCGCCGCCGACGCCGCCACCGCTCACCATGTGCCTGCGCAGGATGGTGGGGCTCTTCATGTACTTGAGGCAGAACTCGCAGACGTAGAGCTTGCCCAGGCGCGTGTACTCCTCGGGGTAGGGCGAGTGGTACCACGTGTCGAGCTCGTAGCGCCCAAACACGATGGTGCGGATGCCGGCCTCGAGACAGGCGCCCACCACGGCCGCCCCCGCCAGCGCTCCGTCGCCGTCGCACGCGGCCCCGCGCAGGTGCATCTGCTCCTGCCGCGGGGTGGTAGCAGGGGTTTTAGTGGGGGGGTTGATGGCGGGTGGGGGGGGCAGAGGTTTAAACACGGCATCTTGAGATGCGTTCGCGTGTAAACGCGACAAAAATCTGATAATTGTTTTTTACCCTTCTATCTGGCAACAAAACTGACACCTTTTTTTACAAGGAGTCATGTTTGCATAGACCACAATACCTGCAGTTATAATGCAAACAAAAAACATAACTCTGATAATGTATGCACTGTCCTTGAAGTGGATTGGTCCACACCCGAGACAGCTTTCCTTAGAGCCTAGTCTCACATGGTGTTGGACCAGATGACGCGTCAGTTTTGTTGCCAGATAGAAGGGTAAAAAAACAATTATCATATTTTTTACTGGCAAATGAGGTTCCAATGGTGCGACAAAAATCCACGCTGTACCGTAATGCAATAAAACCTCGGCTCGTCTTTACATCCCCCTGCTTGTATCCGCACACACGCACACAAATAAAAAGATCCCCCGTAAAGCATTCAGACTGTTGGGCCAAGTGCCGTTAGCAAGCAGAACCTATGAAGAATGGCACGGTACTTGTGGGGGTGGGTGGCCCAGCACCACGCCCGACCGCCTTTGTCTCCCGATGTTTACACACCCCTACACCAGGTACTCAATTGAGGCCGAGTCGACCTAGGGAAGGTCCAGAACTGGTTTAGATCATCGTCACCGCTGTTGGCCGTGAGCGGGATTCGAACTCGGGTCACCGGGTTCGTAGCGCGGCGCGGAAACCGCGACGCTGCCGCTCCCAGGCTGATGTTCGCACACGGACGGGTGGTAGCGTGCAGTGCAGGTTTGCGGTTCAACTACAGGGGCTGCCCCGGTTAATGCCGCACACACACACACACGTGAATACGTGCCATCTGCGTTGCAGCACGGGTTGAAGACCTCGCCTTGTTACGAGAAAAAGAGTGCCAGCATAATTGTCCAAACATTTGAAAACTGGACTGAAATCTGAACAAAAGATCTAATCCCAACATAGCTTTCTCTGCTGGCTGGCAAGACTATTTCCCATTGGAGGAACGGATGATGTATTGATTTTCTGTCGCACAGAGACAGGTTCCATAGCGGTCCCCATGGCTTCAAAAAGCAACACTGCGCTCTGCCATGTTACTTGCTGCTATGGGTGTAAAACAAATAGAATTACAATCTTGATTTTAAGCTTTCGCGACTGCAGGAATCCATACTCTTTGGTTCTTTCGGTAAAGTCACGTAGGGAGAAGAATAAGGTTTATTTCAGCAGTTTTTTATTGCTGTGGTTGTCCCACCTGATGATGGTTGCTTTGTGTTGCGATCGAAAGACCGCGATCTATTTTATTTTTCTACCTACGTGACTTTACCGAAAAGCAATTATGACTATTTATATGCGTATGTATAAATTTTTAGCAGTAGCAAAATACTATAAACCGGTGGTTCCTAACCGTTACTGAAGCCTTGCACCCGTTCGGTTCTCAATCGTAAAAAAAAATGTATTGTATTAATACATAGGGTTTGATGAAACAAAATACAGTAAAACATTGGATTGCGAGTAACTTGGTCTGCGAGTGTTTTGCAAGACGAGATAATTTTTAAAATAAACTTTAACTTGATAAACGAGCGAGGTCTTGCAATACAAGCAGTACCTACAGTATACGCTTTGCTTTGTCTGCCGAGCGTCACGTGATCACAACTGAGCCGATGGTTCTTCTCTCTCTCTCGCTGTGGGATTGTGGGTAATTGTCTCCCATGCTCGGTCTCAGTTGGCGTGCCTCGCTCGTATAGTCAACATCCGTGCGAGCGTACACTGTTTACTATAGTGTTGTGACCACGAGTGTGTGCGTAAAGCATTTTTTTATTTTGTGTCCAAGTGTGGTGACTGTTCTTTAGTAACTGTACTGCAATAACCCACTTCTCCTCTCTCTCGTCTCCCTCACACCAGCCACGATTAAATGTAATTAATACATTTGACAACTTGAAATGTAATTGAAATAATAAAAATATAAAAAGGTATTTTGTATTAATAATTTTTACATGAATATTTTTGGGTTGTGCAACGAATCATCTGAGTTTCCATTATTTCTTATGGGGAAATTCGCTTGGATATACGAGTGCCTTGGATTACGAGCACGTGTCCGGAACGAATTATGCTCGCAATGCAAGGTTTTACTGTAGTTGTACGTACGTGGCCGTGCTTGATGTGTTTCGATGATTTAACCTCCTACAAGAATCTGGCATGTCTCGTACCCCCGGTAAAGAAGCGCTGGTTTAAACGCACGTTGATTTCAAATGTGGAGGAGCAAACCAGAGAACTCAGTGGAATATCCGGACGACCACGAGGAGAGCATGTAAACTCCAAATACGCAGGTGTCGGTCGGGATTGAACCCACGACCTCCTGTATACCAGGCGAGAAGTATAACATCTCACCACCATTGTGCCCCAGTTCCAGTTAACCATTCTCTAAAAACCGGTTTAAAACCAGTTCGATTTAAATAATAGCTCAAAAGCAACAACAACAAAAAGCTCCCCTGGTGGTTATTCACACACGGCAAACCGCACACAAGCAGCCCCAGACACACGCACACTTCACACACAAGTAGGCAGCGCGTGTGTGCGTGCGTGCCCAACCATGTCCAGGCAGGCGCGTGTCTGCGCTCGCCGGAACAGCTCCAGGTCGTAGGGCGACGTCAGCCCGTCGAGGAGCGGCTCTCGGCTCATGGCGTGCGTCTGCCGGTGCTCCTGGCAAGCGGCACAGCGGGCACAGCGGGCACACGGACAGAGCCACCCAGCAGCAGCAGCAGCAGCAACAACAATGAAAAAGTTGATTTATATAGCGCCATACAAAAGACAAAGATACCCACGATAGCCTTAACAGAACTCTTGGGGCAAGTGCCGTTAGCGAGCACCTGTGAACGACAAAACGGCACTTGAGTAAACTAAAAAAAACGAAATAATATTTCTACATTTGAAGTTTTCGTGACTGCAAGGATCCATACTCTTTGGTTTTCTCGGTCAAGTCACGTAGGTGAAAACAAAATGAAATAAAACAATTTACACCATTGGAACCTCATTTACCAATAAAAAATATGATAATTGGTTTTTTACCCTTCTATCTAGCAACAAAACTGACACCTTTTTTACAAGGAGTCATGTTTGCATAGACCACAATACCTGCAGTCATAATGCAAAAAAAAACATAACTCTGATAATGTATGCGCTGTCCTTGAAGTTGATTCAACAATCAACTTCAAGGACAGTGCATACATTATCAGGTATTATGGTCTATGCAAACATGACTCCTTGTAAAAAAAAAAAAGGTGTCAGTTTTGTTGCCAGATAGAAGGGTAAAAAACCAATCATCGAAATAAAACAACCAAATTAAATCACGACGTTTCGGAAGCAACACAAGCATCCGTGTCATCAGGTGTGACTGCTCCAGCAAAATCACTGTCGCGTATTACCAGGCAAGGCCCACTGAGCGATATCGGTGTTTGGCAGAAGTGACCAGCCCACAGACGAAAGAAGGGTGGTCATTACCACGCCCGGCCATCTTTGTCTCCCCAGTACTGATGTTTATGCACTGCACCAGGTACTCATTTGAGGCTGAGTCGACCTAGGGAAGGCCCAGGACCGGTTCAGATAATCATCACTGGTGCTGGCTCTCAGCGGGAATCGAACTCGGGTCGCCGGCCTCGTAGCGCAGCGCGCTAACCGTTACGCGACCGCTCCCCACACAAAACACCGTTTCGACATGCGCATCATGTACATAATAATACTGGTAGGAACCCACTGGTTCCACCAGCCCACAGGGGAGGGGCTGGGTGGGGAGGGGCTGGGTGGGGAGAGTGGGGAGGGGCTGGGTGGGGAGGTGAGGGTGGGTGGGTGGGGGGTGGGAGGGGTGGGGCTGGGTGGGGAGGGGCTGGTCACCCCGTGGTGCCCTTATAAAACTCAACGTTTAACCTACTCACGCCGGCTTGAGCCCACCCTCACAGTCGGGCATATTTGCGGAATACACCACGCCGCCGTTGACCCTGGCCATTGACCGAGCAACCCAACGTTCCTACCAGCTCCCTCCGCAGGAATGTGTTAATAAGAGTACATATATACTGTAGTAGAGAACAGATATGTAGTTATAAGTGGAAAACAAGAGGAAGATCTTGAGCCTGAGATTGAACACGCGCAGGGGAGGGAGTTCTCTATTGCACGGGTAGCAGGGAAGAAGCCACACGCGGACAAACTGTTGCACGGAGACAGAGAGAGACTAACAACTGTGGAGACACACAGCCGCACACACAGAGAGATGCACAGAGCAGCCGGTCGTACAGATAAGAGACAAACAATCGCACAGACAGGAGGGCGTACAGACGGACGGTCACGGAGACAGAAAAAACAGAGAAGTTTCAGTTTCATTTATTTGGTATAGCCCTGTGAGCCATTCGGCTCTTGAATCGGGTGCAACGGCAACAAACAAAAACATGAACAAGAAAGCATCTTAAAGTGACCATGTGACTATGTGCCAACAGAAAATCCAAGAAAAAACGGAAAAGTATGGAACGCTTCACGAATTTGCGTGTCATCCTTGCGCAGGGGCCATGCTGATCTTCTCCGTATCGTTCCAATTTTAGTAGATGTACTGCCGGAAAGCCTGACAAGCCGATTGACAGAGAGACATTGCGACAGATGCCAGACATGCAGGCAGACGGATGGACAGACAGTCGCAGTGATAAGAAAAAATGGTCGGAGACATCCACAGGACAAACGACAGCAAAGATAAACGGGGAGACAAAGGCGGCGGCGGGCTGACGACATGCCAGCTGTGCCACAGCGCGGCCGCGCTGTAAGGGAGCCTCCTAGTGAACCCGGAACAAACAGGAGGGAAAAACGAATCCACTCACAATGTACTTCTGTTTCTGCTCCTCTGTTGGGCCCGCGTTCCGATTCTTGCGCAGCTCGGTGACCTTTTCTCGATAGCGCAGCTGTTTCTCTGTCGGGCCCTGCACATCGCGATCAAAGAAGACAAAAGATTCCAACCCCGCCCCCCCAGAGGTCGCAACCGGGTACCCGATACCCGTACCCTACCCGATACCCGGCTAACCGTACCCGGCCGGGTACGGGTACCCGTTTGCGACCCTGGTGCGGCCGGGTACGGGTAGGTCGTGAGTCACTGGTGAGTCACCGTTTGTCACTCATTTCCCAACACCTTGTCTCTTCTCACAATTCAAGTTCCTAGAATGAACCCACCCGCGCCTGCAACATGGCTTCATCCCAGAGGTCGCAATCGGGTACCCGTACCCATACCCTACCCGATACCCGGCCGGGTACGGGTAGCCGGGTATCGGGTAGGGTACGGGTACCCGTTTGCAACCCTGGTGCGGCCGGGTACGGGTAAGGAATCAAAACCCGTTTGCGACCTCTGCGCCCCCTCCCCATCGCCTCAACGAGACTTTTGCGGCAAGTGCTGTTGGCAAGTAGCAGCACCTATAAAGGCCGGGCATGGCACACGAAGCGGGTGGTGGTAGGGGGTGGCCAGCACAACGCCCGGCTGCCTTTGTCTCCCCAGTAGCGATGTTTTGGATACTGCACCGGGTACTCAATTGAAGCTGAGTCGACCTAAGAAAATGCTCAGGACCGGTTCAAATAATTTGGTGTTGGGAGTGAGTGGGGATCAAACTCGGATCGCCGGGTTTGTAGCGCGGCGCGCAAACCACAGTGCCTTCCACATTACATGAGCGGACCCACAACACACACTGCACACAGACACAAGCACACACAAGCACACAGACAGGCACATACATGCACAGAAACACATACAAGCATACACACACATATAAGCACACAATGCACATAGACAAACACACACAAACAGAAACCCACACACACAAAGACAAGCACACAACAAAGACAAAGATCCCCCTATAGCCTTAACAGACTGTAGGGGCAAGTGCTGTTAGCGAGCACTTATGAAGGCCGGAACGGTACACGAGGGGGTGGGTGGCCAGCACCACGCCCGACCGCCTTTGTCTCCCCAGTGGTGATGTTTACACATCGCACCAGGTACTCATTTGAGGCTGAGTCGACCTAGGGGAGGCCCAGGACCGGTTCAGATAATCGTCACTGGTGTTGGCCCTGAGCGGGAATCGAACCCGGGTGGCCGGGTTAATAGCGCAGCGCGCTAACCGCTACACCACCACTCCCCCCCCACTAGCACACAACAGACACACAGTAACAAGACAAAGATCCCCCATATAGTCTAACATACTTTTGGGGAAAGTGCTGTTAGCGAGTAGCACCTATAAAGGCCGGCACTTTGGCACACGAGGGGGTGGGTGGATAGCACCACACCCGGGCGCGCGCACACACACACACGCGCACGCACACACACACACGCTTATTCACAAACTCACACGAAAACATTGACCTCAGCTTGGTTTTAAAGGACTTGCTGGGACACGTGCTGTCAGCGAGCAACTATTAGAGCCAGTAAGTCGAGCAGCTTCGTTACAGAAATGCCAAATAAGTCGCGCATGTTATACCGAAGCAACTATTAGATGTTCAAGGCATTCCAAGCTGCGTGAATAAATAATATTAACTTTGTTGAGCTATCATTTGTGGCCAGGTCGCTTCTGGAAAATACATTAATGCCTCAGTAGGCTTTGCCTGGAAGGATGCGGATGGTTTAGTTGTTTGTGTGTTGGGTGATTTGTGGCCGAAACGTCGTGAGAATTGTATTTTAGTCTGTTTGATTTTTATTATTTTATTATTTTCCTTCTACGTGACTTTACCGAAAGAACCAAGAAGATTATTTACCTTTCTTGTACTCTGCACTACAATCGTGTTTTTGTACTGCTTGTTGTTGTTGTGACGTTCTTACCCTGTGCCCCTACTGAACATGTAAAAAAATTAACCCGTAAAAACAAAGTTTTTCACTATAAATCCTTTATATGCGTGTTCAATGGGCCACAACCCAGCCCACATTGGTCTTTGAAACGGGCGGCAAGAGTCCTCTCGTCCTCTGGCTTGAGGTGACTGCCACCTATGGGTCAGATGATTGCCTGCCACCATTAAGCAATTGGTAATTAAATATAATAAAAAAAATTAACCTAAAAAGTGTAAAATTTTGGGAAAAAAATTTTCACGAAAAGAAATTGTCACGCACAACGAGTCTGTGTGCAAAATGTCAGCTCGATTGGATCACGGGAAGTGGGTTAAAAAACGACCGAAAGATTTGCACGGTCGTAAGCGCGCAAGCAAGCAAGCGAACTTAATATAAAGGATTTAAATAAAACACGACCGAAAGATTTGCACGGTCGTAAGCGCGCAAGCAAGTGAACTTAATATAAAGGATTTAAAAAAAGAGCTTTATAGCTCATCAGATTCCTCCTGCAGTATAAATAAATCTTCTGATTCTGAACTGACTTGAGAGCGGTACATTTGTCAACCACATTAATCAGCGGTTCAAACACTGGCGCATGCTGGCTGGCCACAGCATGCTGGCCACGTGTTGACACGTGGTGTGTGCAGACGTGGGGACCCCGTGCGTGGCATCGTGACGTAACAGGGCTTTAAACTGTTCCAGGTTTGCCTCTGTTAGGGCTTCCTGTTGGATGACTGCTGCCATCTGCTGGCTCCGAAGATGCTGCACAGAAACCAGAGGGCTTGAGCCTAGACTTGAACCAGCTGCGAGGGGTTGGAAGCACGGACGGCTGGGGGTTAGGAGTTCCAGACTGTGGGGGGGGCAGCAGCAGGGGAGAATGAGCGACTTCCCACCGAGCAAAGGATGACTGGAGGCTTCCATGGAAAGCCTTCGCTGTCGGAGCGGAAGGAGTGCGTGGAGGGGGGTAGTGCAATGATAGAGAGGTAGGAGAGTGCACGGAGTGGAGTAGTGATGAGAAGGGAGAGCTAGGAGAGTGCGTGGAGGGGGGTTAGAGTGCGATGATATAGGTGAGCCCGCCACCACCCGACACAGCCAATTAGTAAGATTTGTCACGTAAACAGAACGTGGCCAATTTGTCATTAGTACAGCACTAAGCGGTGTGTTGGAGACCAAAGGCACAACATTTACAATCTGTACGACGTTTTGCCAGTAATCACAGCCAGTAATCACAGCTAGCTTCATCAGGCGACGGCCGGATTTGTTGAGAAATCCTCCTGTTTTGTTCCTTAAAAAGAGGGGTGGATGTGATGACATCACTTGTGTGCTCTTCTATCTAAGCAATCCAACCCCAAAAAAACCTGTATTATGGATGATATTGGTCGCGAAAGCCTACGTGCTAAACTGACATAGGAGGGGGGTAGGAGCATGCACGGAGTGGAGTAGTGATGAGAGAGAGGGGGGAGGAGGTAGGAGAGTGCGCGGATAGGGGTGGGTAGAGTGTGATGATATAGGAGAGGTAGGAGAGTGCAAGAACTGGAGTGGTGATGAGAGGGGAGAGGTAGGAGCGTGCTCGGAGTGGGGTAGTGATGAGAAGGGGGAGGTAGGAGAGTGCGTGGATGGGGGGGGGGGGGTAGAGTGTGATGATACAGGAGAGGTAGGAGCGTGCACGGAGTGGAGGAGTGATGAGAGAGAGGGGTGAGGTAGGATAATGCGCAGATGAGGGTACGAAAGAGTAAAAGATGACGGTGACGATGACGACGGAGCAACGAACGCCGCGAGCCCGCGGGGTGGGGGGGGAAGGGGGCCGTGAACTCACTCCGTGCCGGGTCGTGTGTCGATTCTCGTCCTGCTGATCGGCCAGCTCCTGCTCCGCCAGCTCCTTCTCGTACCGCCCTGCTCGCAACTGACGGCACGAGTCACACGCCCACCAACAACCCCCCCCCCACAACGGTCAAAGGCGCGCAAACGCGACGTTCGTTCGAGAAGTAACATTTAGTATCCATCCGCCCGCGCTAAGGGGAGGGGGTCGGCAAATCTGTGGCGCCTCTTCAAGGAACCGTCGTCGGGACGTTACTTATTTAAGGACCACCGTCCCGTACTCGCGCGCACTGCGGATCTTGAAATATTAAAATTTTTGTTACCGAATACCAAAGGAAAAACGGCTCTCATGGTTCTTTGATTGCCGAGCCCTGGCCCGTGGGATATCCTCCACATTTCGTGTTTACCGGGAAGCATTTGCCGAGTTAACAAGGCAACCCTGGGCTTGCTTTCGACTTCACCGAGGAACATCGGCATGAGGCAAGTCGGCTGCGGGAGCGTACGCCGAGACAACGCGTGGCAGCATCCTCCCTCTGGCGCCAACCCAAGGGGTCCCTCTCAAAGCCCCCTAGCGAAGCCCCCCCCCCTTCCGATGGGGTCCCTGCCGGCGGAGCCCCCGAGCGAGCCCCCCTTCCTAGGCGTCCCTCGGAGCCCCACACCCCCTGGCAACCACAATCCCTGTGGCCGGCCCCTCGGCCTCCTCCTCCTCGTCCACCCATGAGGTTGTTTAGCTCGGGGAAGAGGATGGGGAAGGGGGGGAATTCGGTCGGCAGGACGAACCAGGTGCAGGCGAGGAGCTGCACCTGGTTTCTAAATGTGGGGGGGAAAAAAACAAGAGGACCTGGAGGGAAAAAAAAATCCACGCGACCACGGGAAGAGAGAGAGAGACACGCAAACTCCAAATATACAGCAGGTGTCAGGGTCGGGATCGAACCCACGACTTCCTGTATACCAGGCGAGGTAGTTAACATCTCCTAGCCCCCATGGCAGGCAAACCAAACGAAATAAACAGTGGTGGAGGGCGCCGTTGTCGAGAGGACAGGCCGCTTACCCTGCACTCCTCGGCGGTCATGTTGTGGTAGAGGGGGCAGGCGACGGTTGAGAAATGCCGCTCGGACTTCCCCGCGAGGTGACCTGGCAGGGCGCGGCACCACAGCGAGTAAAAAGTTCACACAAATCGCGAAGATTTTTTTCGAAGGGTGCGTTCCGCACTCAAAAACGCCGCACTTCACCGTGATGACCAGGCGACGTTCCCCGAGTGCAGGGTGCACGAGCGAGTTTGTTTTGTTTTCACGTGTGCATCGGTTATTTGGAGCGGGTCCTGCCTTTTTCGAGAGCATTCTGCAATTGTTTTTGTTTTTATTGAAGCATTCCATCACGACCGCTGCCACAGCTGTGGTCGGCATGACCTAGGAAAGCCAAACTAAGTTGTAAAAAAGTGGATCTATGCAACACATCTGAGCCGAGAACAACACAACCCAGAGAAACACCCCTCGCCACTCACACAAGGGACTCCCAAAACCCTCGCCCCCTCCCTCCTCACCCCTTACCTTGTCACGCCCTCAACCCCTCAACACCACTCGTCCTCTCAGCCCTCACCACTCGCCGCTCACCCTCTAACCCCCTCACCCTCCCGCCACTCACCGAGAGAGTCGCATCCCGGCGTTGGACAGCTGGCGCGGGGAACGCGGGTCGAACCCACGGCTGCATCTCCGCCGCCGCCGCCGCCGCCGTCAGGCTTGGCGTTCCCGTCCGCCATCCCGTCCTCTCCGCTCTGCCGCTGGTGGCCCTGCCGGCGCGCTCGCTTGCGGGGCGGCGGCCGCGCCGTCGTCGTCTTGACGGCGGCAGCAGCGTTGGCGGCGGCGGCGGCGGTGGCCGAGGAGGAGGAAGACGAGGAGGAACCGGCGGCCTTTCCCGCGCCGCCGGCAGCGGAGCCGGCGCCGGCCCCGCCGCTGGTGGCGGTGGTGCCGCCGCGCTCGCTGCCGGAGTCGGGGTCGCGGTCTCCGCTGGCGGCGCGCGACGCCGGGCCGCTCGACACGTCCAGCTCCGAGTCGGAAGACGGGGCGTTCCCCGTGGGGGTGCGCGGGGGAGACTCGTCTACGGGGGGGAGAGACGGGGGGGGAGAGACGCGGGGGGAGAGACGCGGCTTTGTGAAGGCGGGGAGCACGGATGTGAGAGCACGCGAGCACAGTCCGCCGCACTGCCCTCCGCTGCCTTCTAAACGCGACTGCATCACGACAAGAGCGGGCTGTGGGGTGTTGAGATTGCGAGGGGGATGATGATAATTAAAAAAAAACGAGGGGACTTGTGAAAGGGGAAGTGGCAAAGCGATGGGGAATCAGGTGCGGGGTTGGGATAATAAATCATTAACTCTTCACGCAGGCTGCATAACGCGTTTGGATGACTTTGCGAGTGCTTTTGCCCTGTGTGAACGTTTGTGTCTCTTGCGCGGTTGTTCGGCGCGAGCCGTTTGCCCGATGTGCACTCGTGCAAGTGGTGTAACGTCTCCCCGAGAGCACGAGCTCGCGAGCGAGTGTGCGTGTTTGTGTGTTTACGTGTCGGCGCACGTGTTTTTGCTGACTGTCCGCGTGAGCGCCAGCGTTGTGCATGATTGAGCACACGTTTCTTGAGCGTGGTTTGGGTGTGGCCGTGTGTTTCTGTGTCGCACGTGTATGTATCATGCATTTCGACTGCAGGTATTGTGGTCAATGCAAACATGACACCTTGTAAAAAAGGTGTCAGTTTTGTTGCCAGATAAAAGGGTAAAAAAACAATTATCATATTTTGCTACTGGCAAATGAGGTTCCAATGATGTGTTGTGCACGTCCGCTTGTGTATTTGTGTTGCATGCTTGTGCATGTGTTGGCACAGTAGGGGGCACAGGTGGTGCATCTGCCAGTCGTCTCAGTCAGTCAACCCAAGGCACCTGGGTCTGTCCCGTGCCTTCCTGTAAGCAAGCCGTTGACACTTCACGTGGCCTCAAAGTGCTTCTAGCCTAGCACAGGTGCCGTGGTGATGTCGCCGTTGTTGTATTTGTATGTTGTTCTATTTGTATGTATGGAGGAAGCTCATAAAGGATGCTACTACTGGGCGGTTGAAGGCAGTCACCCTCCAACAACAGCAGAGGGCGGAGGAGCAAAGCTCACATCAAATCTGCTGGTCATCTCAGTCAGAATCAGAACATTTATTTATACTGGAGGAATCCTATCTACACCATTGGAACCTCCTTTGCCAGTAGCAAAATATGATAATTGTTTTTTTACCCTTTTATCTGGCAATACAACTGACTACAATACCTGCGGTCGGAATGTGCCTTTTGGCGTCATCTGGTCCAACAAAATGTGAGACTGGGGTCTAAGAAAAGCTGTCTTGAGTGTGGACCAATCAATTTTAAGGACAGTGCATACATTATCAGAGTTATGTTTTTTGTTTGCAGTCCGACCGCAGGTATTGTGGTCAATGCAAACATGACTCCTTGTAAAACAAAAAGGTGTCAGTTATGTTGCCAGATAAAAAGTTAAAAAAACAATTATCGAATCCTATCTAATAAATAAAAGTGAATGTCTGTCTGTCTCTCTGTCTGTGTGTGTCTGCCCGCTTGCAAGCTATAAAGCTCTTTTTCACAGATTAACCTCATGGCGGGACCCCGGGGGGTCCCACAAGCCCCCGGCTCTCGCACAAACTGCGTTGCGACGTCATTTTATGTCCGTTTAAGGCGAACGCTGAGGTAATCGATTCCTCTCGACCAGCGCTACACGATGCGCTAATCGAAGTTTCAAAGTTTTGTTTGTGACTACGGCAACTTTGGCAACGACGAGCGCTTGGTGAAGAACGAGAGGATTGGTTTCTGGCGGGTCGCGGCGTTTACGTGCGCGGTGGGACGGAGTCGCCAAAAATAACTAAATTAATTACGATTTTGACTTGCGTTTATTCGGAACTCCGGGGTCTCCGCCCTAAGGTTCAGATGTCCAGTCGGTCAACCCATGGCACCTGGGTCAGTCCCATCAACAGCGAGCCTTCAACACTTCACGTGGCCTCAAAGTGCACCTAGCCAGGTGCAGGCGCCGCGGTGACATCACCGCCACTTTGTGTGGAATGGTGGCTGTTGTCGCTGTCATCATCGTCGTCCGTGCGTGCGTCCGTGCGTGCGTCCGTGCGTGCGCGTGTACGAGTTCGCACCGCGGTCGGCGTGCTCCGTGGCCGTGAGCTCCGACTCGGAGCCGGAGGAGCGCACGCGCCGTAGGCCGCCCGTCGCACGGGCGCCGTCGGTGAGGCCCGCGGTGCCGGCGGTGCCGGCGAGCCGGCGCAGGGGGACGCCGTGGCCCCCCCTGCTCCTCGTCGGGTACGGCGCCGGTTCCCGCCCCGCTGCTCGCCCCAGCGGCCACACACACGCACACACGCGCACACATACACACGCACACACACACACACGCACACACGCACGCACACACGCGCGCACACACACACGCGCACGCGCACACAAGCACACACACACACACACACGCACACACACACGCACGCACACACACGTGCACACACACACGCGCACACGCACACAAGCACACACACACGCACACACGCACACACACATGCACACAAGCACACACACACGCACACACACGCATGAGATGGCACAGAGACGGGCAAGCGAGAGTCGATGTGAAGAAACACAACTGACCCCACTTAACCCCCCCGCTCTCCCCAGGTGTCCCCTTAGTGTGCTGGTTATTCTTCTCCTCCCACTCCCAGTCTCTGCCCCTCCCCCCCCCCTTCGCCCCCCCCCCCCACGCGGTTGGGGCAGCGGGGCCCCCCACTCCCCCTTCGTTCCGCACCTTTCACGCGGTTTCGCCGCGCCGCGATGGATGCTCGCGGATGTTTTTACATTTCCTGTTGTTAGAACCCCTCTGTCTGGCTTACCGCGCCCGCATGTTGTTGCAACAAAAATGGACACAAATTAGTTTTTAAAGAAACGCAACCGAGGGTTACCCTGTCCGATCGTATTATCGACCACGGGCTCACATTCCCGTCACCCGTTCATGATGTTATTAACAACGTTTTTACTAATATATTTCACGAACGCTTTCTGGTGTAACCAGGAGGTTCGTACCAGTATAATGCATTCGTTGAGGAACCCTGGTGCGAGGTTTGACTCGACACTCGACATTAGCAGCGGTGTGACGGGGATGCTGGCGACGCGTGTCGTCAGACCGCATGAGAGCGACGGGGAGAAAATCTTGCCAACAAGATATTGATCCGCAGAATCTACAAGCGGACCACGCACGACTCGTCAACGCAGAGATGAGAATCTTAGCGGCATCAAACCGCGTACAGCCGAAACATCACCCCCGTGTGCCGGAAGACATACTTCTTAACAAGCAAGCCGTGCACAGTTGAAACACACGTTCTATAAAACATCATTGGGCGAGCTGCGACTGCAATGACTCCAAAAAGCTGAACCACGGACAAAAGCCATCGATGCCGCCGCCGCCGCCGCCGCCACCGCCGCCCCTCCCCAACGCTTTCTACCCTCCGCCAGATGCCGCAGCCGCTGCACAGCAGACACGGGACCTCCCCTACACCACGCCGGAACAGTTCCTCCAAGCGGCGGACATTCACAATGGTTCATATTCTTATGTTTTTTCGGTAAAGCCACATACCTACGTGACTTTACCTACGTGACTTTACCGAAAAAACCTAAGAATATGAATCCTTGCAGTCACAAAAGCTTCAAATCTAGAATTCGCAATGGTACTGCTGGCGTCAGTGCTGCTGCTTTACCTTCTCCCGGTGCGGCGCTGGTGGCGTTGCCGGTTGTGTTGGCGCTGTTGTTGGCGCTGGCGGCAGCGGCGGCGGCGGCGGCCTGGGCTCGCGTGGAGCCGCGGGTTGAGCGCGCGAGCCTCCCCGACCGCCGCGGGCCTTGCCCGCCGGAGCTGCTCTCATCGCTCCCCTCCCCGGCCGAGTCCGTGGCCTCGGAGGCCAGCACCTCCATCTCCACCTCGTCGTCTTCCTCGTCCTCCTCCTCCTCCTCTTCCTCCTCCTCTTCGTCCTCCTCGTCCTCCTCGTCCCCCTCCGAGCTGCTGACGTGGCTCAGCTGACGTGAGCAGAGGGGGAGGAAATGAGAGTAAACATCTCCGCGCGAGATTACTCGATATTAGTCATTACAGGAGTCCATCGGTTTAAACAGCGACATCGGTTAAGTATGATAATTGTTTTTTTTACCTTCTATCTGGCAACAAAACTCACACCTTTTTAACAAGGAGTCATGTTTGCATTGACCACAATACCTGCGGTCAGAATGCAAAAGAAAACACAACTCTGATAATGTATGTGCAGTCCTTGAAATTGATTGGTCCACACCCGAGACAGCTTTTCTTAGAGCCTAGTCTCACATGGTGTTGGACCAGATGACCTCGTGGTGCCCTTATAAAACTCAACGTTTAACCTACTCACGCCGGCTTGTGCCCGCCCTCACAGTTGGGCATATTTGCGGAATACACCACGCCGCCGTTGACCCTGGCCATTGACCAAGCAACCCAACGTTCCAACCAGCTCCCTCCGCAGGAATGTGTTAAGACAGAACAAGTAAGTTATTTAATAGCCGTTGAACCATTCACATTCAATGGGGTTAAATCCCTGTTGTCAGCGCTCCGCTAATTACTAAACTATTTACTATTTTTTTTACTTTACCAGGTAAGGCCGAACATGAGCTATCTACGTAGATATTTTTCAGAAGCGACCTGGCCACAAATGGAAGCTTAACCAAGTGGGCTCATCACGATGTGGAAATGTACAAACAGCAACATACTCCAAACGCGTGGTGGTGATTCTATACGTGGAGGGACAAACCGGGGGAGACCCGTGAAAAATCCACACGATCACGGGGAGAGAGACACGCAAACTCCACATATACAGCAGGCGTCAGATTCGTGATCGAACCCACGACCTCCTGTATACCAGGCGAGGTAGTTAACATCTCCTAGCTACCATGATGATGATGATGAGAGACACGCAAACTCCACATCTCCAGCAGCAGAAGCAGGCGTCAGGGTCGAAATCGAACCCACTACCTCCTGTACACCAGGCGAGGTAGTTAACATCTCCTAGCCACCGTGATAATGATGATGATGAGAGAGAGAGACACGCAAACTCCACATACACAGCAGCAGGCGTCAGGGTCGGGATCGAGCCCACGACCTGCTGTATACCAGGAGAGGTAGTTAACATCTCCTAGCCACCGTGATGATGATGATGAGAGAGACACGCAAACTCCACATACACAGCAGCCGTCAGGGTCGGGATCGAACTCACGACTTCCTGTACACCAGGCGAGGTAGTTAACATCTCCTAGCCATCATGATGATGATGATGAGAGAGAGACACGCAAACTCCACATATACAGCAGCAGGCGTCAGGGTCGGGATCGAACCCACGACCTCCTGTACACCAGGCGAGGTAGTTAACATCTCCTAGCCATCATGATGATGATGATGAGAGAGAGACACGCAAACTCCACATATACAGCAGCAGGCGTCAGGGTCGAAATCGAACCCACGACCTCCTGTACACCAGGCGAGGTAGTTAACATCTCCTAGCCACCGTGATAATGATGATGATGAGAGAGAGACACGCAAACTCCACATACACAGCAGCAGGCGTCAGGGTCGGGATCGAGCCCACGACCTGCTGTATACCAGGAGAGGTTGTTAACATCTCCTAGCCACCGTGATGATGATGAGAGAGACACGCAAACTCCACATACACAGCAGCCGTCAGGGTCGGGATCGAACTCACGACTTCCTGTACACCAGGCGAGGTAGTTAACATCTCCTAGCCATCATGATGATGATGATGAGAGAGAGACACGCAAACTCCACATATACAGCAGCAGGCGTCAGAGTCGTGATCGAACCCACGACCTCCTGTATACCAGGAGAGGTAGTTAACATCTCCTAGCCACCGTGATGATGACGAGAAACACGCAAACTCCACATATACAGCAGCAGGCATTAGGATCGTGATTGAACCCACGGCCTCCTGTATACCAGGCGAGGTAGTTAACATCTCTGTGAATGATGACTGCATCTACGACTGTGATTGACAACCTATGCCTGTGAATGATGACTGTAAGATTGTGAATGATTATATCTACTGTGTGAATAACTCTACAACTGTGACTCTCCACGACTCTCCGTGCCTCTCTATGACTCTGAGTGACTCTCTGTGACTCTTTGTGACTCTCCGCGACTCTCTATGATTGTGACTCTCTGTGACTCTCCACGACTCTCCGCGACTCTCTATGACTCTGAGTGACTCTCTATGACTCTCTATGATTGTGAGTGACTCTCTGTGACTCTCTATGATTGTGAGTGACTCTCTGTGACTCTCTACGACTATCTGTGACTCTCTGTGATTGTGAGTGACTCTCTGTGACTCTATGATTGTGAGTGACTCTCTGCGACTCTCTATGATTGTGAGTGACTCTCTGTGACTCTATGATTGTGAGTGACTCTCTGTGACTCTCTACGACTATCTGTGACTCTCTATGATTGTGAGTGACTCTCTGTGACTCTCCGCGACTCTGTGACTCTCTGTGATTATGAGTGACTCTATAACTCTCCACGACTCTCTATGATTGTGAGTGACTCTCTGTGACTCTCTATGATTGTGAGTGACTCTCTGTGACTCTCTATGATTGTGAGTGACTCTCTGTGACTCTCTATGATTGTGAGTGACTCTCTGTGACTCTCTATGATTGTGAGTGACTCTCTATGATTGAGTGACTCTCTGTGACTCTCTATGATTGTGAGTGACTCTCTACGACTCTCTATGATTGCGAGTGACTCTGTGACTCTCTATGATTGTGAGTGACTCTCTGTGACTCTGAGTGACTCTCTGTGACTCTGAGTGACTCTCTGCGACTCTGAGTGACTCTCTGCGACTCTCTGTGACTCTGAGTGACTCTCTGTGACTCTCTATGATTGTGAGTGACTCTCTGCAACTCTCTATGATTGTGAGTGACTCTCTGTGACTCTCTGTGACTCTCTATGATTGTGAGTGACTCTCTGCAACTCTCTATGATTGTGAGTGACTCTCTGTGACTCTCTGTGACTCTCTATGATTGTGAGTGACTCTCTATGATTGTGAGTGACTCTGAGTGACTCTGAGTGACTCTCTACGACTCTCTGCGACTGCCGTCACTACAAGGTGCACGGGGGGGGAGGAGACGGAGGCCTGGAGCGCCGCGTCAGCCGCTCCCGCGGTACCACAAACTTCACCGTCAGGACGCAGCGTTCCACCTTCCTGCGAGGCATTCCTCTTCAGCTCGCGGCGCCTTCGATCGGCAGCAACAACAATTTCTAAAAAAAAATCGATAAACTCCCGATAAACTAATTAATCGAGGGCGAGCAATTAACGTCAATGTTGTTTATTGGCGGCAACGCCACTGGGATACAAAAAATGAGCTCCCACGGCCACCGTCCGTTACGTCGACCCGGGGGGGTACTAACGGGGCACGCGATTGGTCAGTCGGAGGTCACGTGAGTTGTTCTGAACCAATGGCAAGGCGCGCTCGGCCGGAGAGTCGCGAACGGCCACCGTACACGCCGCTGATGGCGCGCGACGTCGACAGAAACGCGATTCGTAATAACTCGCGAGCTTCGTGTTTGTGTTTTGTAGCGCGTAATGAATTTTAAAAGAAGAATATTTTTGGTTTTTATTCGATATGAAATGTTTAGCAAATAAAAAAAAATATAAGCTTTCGTAAAACTTTGTGATCGCAATAAAAAAGACGTTACATAATATTTATTGAAATGCCATATGGGCCCAATAATCATTTGGCTGCGATCAATGTCCACGTGAAAAGCCACTTCGTTGAGCTATCGATTGTGACGGCCAGGGCGCTTCGGAAAAAATAACGAATAGCTCAGTCGACTTGACCTGGTAAAACAAAATAGATTTATCGTTTCGTTTTATCTTAATTTTTTTTGTAACATGCTTACCTCACCTATACTTTGCATTCCTATCGGGTTTTTTTATTATTTGTTGTAACGTTCTGATCCTACCCTGCTGGACCTCTGTGCAAAAGAGCTTTATAGCTCATAGGATTTCTCGAGGATAAATAAAACAAATTCTGATTTAAAAACGCGTCCTGAGAGCATTATGCAAATGTATGGCTCCCATTGGCCTCAACGATCACGGGTTTTACCCATAATGCAATGTGCCCATCAGCATGATATGATTCACCCTTAATACACAAATTAATTTACTTCGTATTTGTCTTGTCACTGAATAATAGCTACGAATAATGCAACTATGCGTATGCCAATTAAATACACATGCTCGTCGGTAAATATTTCTTATAAATGTCATTCTCATCCGGCCCCCATAGTGTAAATGTTTGGTCTCCCAACTCTTATTATTCCCATGAATCCATGATGTCTTTATAGTGGTAGGAACCTCCTGGTTAGACCAGCCCACAGGGGATTATTGTGCCTGTCCGTCCGTCGTGCATCCAAAAATGGGAGGAGTGGGGCTGGGTGGAGAGGGGAGGGTGGGGAAGGGCTGGTCACCCCGTGGTGCCCTTATAAAACTCAACGTTTAACCTACTCACGCCGGCTTGTGCCCGCCCTCACAGTCGGCCATATTTGCGGAATACACCACGCCGCCGTTGACCCTGCAGGCCATTATCAGTAGGGTAACCACGGCCACCACAGAAGATAATTTTTATCGTGGGTTTTTTGCTTTTATTATTTTAAATGTATTATTTTTCATTTTTATTAATTTCGTTTATTCTTTTTTACTTATATTTTTTTGTTTTTTATTTACATGACTTTACCGAAAGCACGAATAATATGAATTCCTGCAGTTGTGGGGGTCGCTAGCCCCCGAGATCCCTCCCTCGATAATGTTAACGGCCGGGCTAGCATCATCAATCGCCCCCCCGCTGCTAAGCGAACCGCTGCTAAGTTCCTCACCCATGGGGTGGGAGCCGTCGCCCGAGGATTCCACTCCACCGCGGGTCCGCGTAGCAGGCATGGTTAATTACGTACGCGCACACCCACACACACAGCTCCGTACGGCACTCACTCTTGCGCTTCTCTGCGCCGCGCTGGCCGCTCACGTTACAATCGCGCACCTGGGGTACGCCGATTTCGCACGACGAGAGCTTACGCCTACACCGTACTACACGCGTTCACACTTATAACACGTAACGAGCACACGCAAGCGGGGCACACGCCGACACAACGACTAAAGTCGCCGCCGCCGTGCGCGCGAGATAAACCGTACAACAATGCGCAGCCGATTACGCTATGATCGCGCACCTGGGGGACGCCGATTACGCACGCTGCGAGCTTACGCACACACAGTACCACACGCGTTCCCACACGCTCACACTGCACGACAAGATCACGCGAGACCACGCTTCGCTATTAATGATTTATTACCTGATAACTAATGTTGAATTAGTGAGTCGACGAGGCTGGCCTATTCCACTAAACCGGCACCTATTCCCTATTTATCGGCTATGATTCTAATTCCCCTTCTTACTCACTGTTAAGTGTCCACGGCAGTCCGCTGATCCTTGTGTTAACCGCGTGCCTCGGTGCGTCGCACGGACGTCCGGGTCGCTGGCTCGAGCTGCGTCTGGTCGCCTGGCGCTGGAGTAAGAGAGCGATTTCCCCTCTGCGCTCCTCTATTTATCCTCCCTACCTCCCAAAGGGGATGCTGCGCTGAACAATGGGCTCGTGCACCCCAAGCCCGCGCACGGCAGTCCCCAGGCGCTGTTGATATGCTAATCAGTGTGCTGCGTGCAAGGCGTAAATCCTAATTACTCCCTTACCCTTCCTACCAATGGGGCTTGCGCGCTCAAGCGCAATTATCCCAACCCTCCATGACTATGCGCAACAGCCCCTGTGACCCCGCTATTCATGCTGTCCCGTGCCTCCCCTGCTCGCCCCGTCGACCCGTGGGAGTGTGTGTAAGGGGAAATGCGCCTCAACCGCGGTGGCCGAATGCCCCACGCCACGACCTACCATATTAAGGCCGGCCGCAGCGCCGCGGTGCCACGTAGCACGGGGAGGTCATCCAATTCCCTGATCGCCGGAAACCGTGAGAATTAATCCCGATAAGGGTCTCTCGGATAAAAACCGGTCGATCAGGTGACCTTCCCTTCCAGCTCTATGGGGGGGGGGGAATGCGTGCGGGTGTGTGCTTATGTGGGGCGGGTGATGGGGGGCAGTGCGGTGGGGGAAGCCGGGCGGCTCCCTGGTTCGGCAGAGCGGCCCCGTCGTGGTGGCACCACATAGCCCCCCGGGGTGCCAGTCCCCGTCCCGGGTTGACTGGAGCACCTCGCCTGGGTTGCCCCCACGAGGTATCGCCGCGGGGTCCGCGGGATTCGCCCGGCCCTTGTGGCTGGCCTCGGGGGGTGGCGGCTCCGTCTCCTGGGGCTCCGGCGGTGGTCTCCTCCTCCATTCCAACGGCTCCCCTCGGCCTCTGGCACCTGCGGGCTGGGGAACAAACTCAGAGGCGGTGGGGTTTAAGGGTCGCCGTCCTCGTCGCCCCCGGCCCCGCCCGGGGCCCCTCGGAGCCCGGGGCTCCGTGGGGCCCATGTACTGCGCGAGGCCCCCGGGCACGTGGGGTGGGGGGACCCCGGGGTTTCGGGGTACTTGGACGGCGGGGCTCCCCCCCTCGGGGGCTGCTCGCCACGGCTTCAGTCGGCGGATGTTGACCACCATCTCCCGGCCCCTCTCTCCTCCCTGAATCAGCACCGTCCATGGTGAGATCTGCCGTCTCACAATCCAGGGTCCTCGCCAGTAGGTGGTCAGCTTCCCCACCTGTCCGGCACCGACGCGGGGAGTGTACAGCCACACCTCGGAGCCCGCAGTGTAGAAGGGGGGCTCCATACGGGGTCGGGCGCCCTGCTCTTGCCGCTGGTGCGCGGCCTCTCCGTGCGGGCAGGCTCGGCCCCTGGCCCCTCGCAGGGTCTCCAGCAAGTGCTCCACGGGGTGGCTCCCTTCCTCCCGTTGCGGCGGAGGAACACCGAACAGCAGATCTGCGGGCAGGCGAGACTCGCGACCAAACATCATTAGGAACGGGGTCTGTCCTGTAGAGGTGTGAACGGCGGTGGTGTAGGCGAACAGGGCATAGGGAAGGTGTTCGTCCCAGTCCTGTTGATTCGCGGCCGCCATGCGTTTAAGCTTCCCGGCCAGAGTCTGGTTCATCCTCTCTACCATCCCGTTCGCCTGGGGGTGATACGCCGTGGTTCGGTCCTTCTGGATCCCGAACTCTCGGCACAGCGCCTGAAATAATTCGGCCTCGAATTCACTACCCTGGTCGGTAATGACTCGTTCGGGGATCCCGCACTTAAGTACATAGTTTTCCACGAAGGCCCGGGCCACTACAAGGGCTGTTTTATCTGGGATAGCCACCGCCACGGGGTAGCGGGTGAAGTATTCCACCGCTACGAGAATATATCGGTTGCCCCGGTGGGATCGTGGAAAGGGCCCCTGCAGGTCGATTCCGACCAACTGATTCGTCCGACTGACTCGGAACGGCCTCAGGGGTACCTGGTACCTCGCCGGCTTTTGCCCACACTGCTGACAGGCCCGGCAGCCCTGCACCCAGGCGGCCACATCTTGTGCCAATTTGGGCCAGAGATACTGGCGACGCAGGGTCTCCCGGGTGCGCCGTTCCCCATCATGGCCCCCGAGTGGGTGGTCATGCACCAGCCGTAGCAGCTGGGGTCGCACCTGGGCAGGAACACAGATGCCCCCCGGCTGGCCGGCCTCGGTTAACTCCCGTACCACTCCGTTCCGCACACACAACCGGGCATACAAACCGCTCCAGGGTCCTGGTAGGGCGCTCTTTTCCTCCCGCAGTGCCGCCTCCACTGCCGCCAGATCCGGATCTCGCTGCTGGGTCTGTCTCAGCTGCTCGTCGTTTAGGCCCGGGAAGGCGCAGCCGACGTCCTCCTGGATCCGTCCGATCGGGTCCCGAGCCGCGGGTCCCGCGCTTGCCGGGCGGTCGACGGGATCCTCAGTGCCACCTGTGAGGGTTTCTGTGGCGCACACTGCACTCTCCCTCGCTGGGGGGGGGTCAGTGGCCGCGGCCTCTCGGGGGTCCGTTGCCTGCCGGCAGCGTCCCGCCGTGAAACACGGGCAGGCCTCCTCCGCCCTCGTCTCGGCGTACACCGTGGGTCGCCTCGATAAGGCGTCCGCGTTTGCATGCGTCCGGCCAGCCCGATACTCGATTTGCAGGTTGTACTCCTGCAACTGCGCCAACCACCGGGCCATCTGCCCCCGCGGCTCCTTGAATGTAAGAAGAAACTGCAGAGCATAATGGTCAGTGCGTACGCGACATCTCCTGCCGTACAAATACGGTCGGAACTGTTTGCATGCGAAAATCACGGCGTACAACTCTTGGCGGGTCACGCAATAGTTCAGCTCGGCCCCACTCAAG